GTTCCTTTCAAGAGCATCTGAGATTTTGGGAATAAACTCATATCGTTCCATGATTTTCTACAACCTAGATTAGTTCCAAATTAAGAGTAATTGTTTTTATGTTTTTAAAATATTCTTCTAGAACTCAATCATTACAATGATGCTCGTTAATCGATTTCCTTTTAGATATCCTTAATCTGGTCTTTAGATATCCTTAATCTGGTCTTTAGATATCCTTAATCTGGTCTTTAGATATCCTTAATCTGGTCTTTAGATATCCTTAATCTGGTCTTTAGATATCCTTAATCTGGCCTTTAGATATCCTTAATCTGGTCTTTAGATATCCTTAATCTGGCCTTTAGATATCCTTAATCTGGTCTTTAGATATCCTTAATCTGGTCTTTAGACATCCTTAATCTGGCCTTTAGATATCCTTAATCTGGCCTTTAGATACCCTTAATCTGGTCTTTAAAAGTTGTTACTTCATTCAGATTGTTAGTTCCAATTCAATACACGGATCTTGTAGATATTGATAAATTTGATTTTCATTGAATTTTAATTTAGTTTCCTAAATCTACTTTAGGTCTATGACCTACATATATTATAGATTTCATTTGTACGTAAATGAAATCATTGCTATTCATTTTTCCAAAATCGTATGCTTTTAACTCATTAAGAATTGATGTATTGCTTCAACATACGTAAACGTTCTCATACATATCGCGTACTGAATAAAGCACGCATTCTCTAATTCTTAAAACCACTATCGAGTGTGCATCATGCGTGACACATTAGCATGAACATGTGTCGTAAAGTGAACAAATTAATTTTGAAAAGTGGTGATCAAAACCAGTTAGTGACATAATACTTAGATATTGTGCGACCAATATGCAAATCAATGATTTCAAAGCGTGTCAGCAAACTCCATTTGGCAAACAGCTATGTTTGTTGTTTTTTGTGTGTTTTTTTTTTTTTTTTTTGCTTTTTTTTTTTTTTGAAAGACATACATATAGCCGCGCTCTTATATATTCATTTAAACTACTTGATTTGAAAATTGTAAAAGACATGATATTGAATTTCCTGTGTTATATTTTCTCCGTTACCTGTCAACGTCTTTCATAGATATGACAATATTGGCAACAAATACGTGAATACCGAATCATTGGACTAGGTACCATATCGGCTTAAACATCGTGTTACTATCCAAAAATGGAATGATCACAACTGGAAATCGATTGAAAGGATTGAAATAAGTGGTTGGTGTAAAAGGATCTATCACGTCTGTCGTTGATAGAATATATAATATAGGCTTACACCATGAATGTCTCGTTATTTACAGACAAGACCTCATTAATATATTTACAAATGAAATCGAAGGACTTGGCGAGGTGTTTGCACCATGTTTTCATAACCTCTGCTATGACTGTAGCTGCTTATGAAACAACTAGACCAAGAAAAGAGGCGTGTCGCGACAACGAATGTCTTTACAAAACAAACGTACTGAACAAAGGGTTCTTAATGATGAAGCAAACTGGATCATTCTGTGAAAACAGACTTAGTCGGACTGGTGACTTACAACCGCTTCACGTGCGATTCAGAAGTGTTTTCAATCATTAATGTTCAACTCATTAAAACTTGTATTTAGCTTCCTATAACAGTTCACCTTTATAAAATGCTACCATGCGTTGCGTCATTCAACAACAGTTTCAGAACTTCACTAACAACCGCGTTTCAAGGTAATTCGTTCCAAAACCTATTTTGTGTTAGTTTCGAACGAAGTCGACCTTGAATGGTACCGAGGGATCTTTAAAAATGAAATATAAGATTCCAATTTCAAAATTTCGAATTCCGTTTCTAGTTAACAAAATCGACGCCCCTTTGCTCGTAAACAATCAGTTCACTGACAGGTACAAAGTTTAATTTCCCAAGGAACCCGTCTACGTAGTATATATCATGATCATCTCTATATTTGGGATTGCTTCATGTTCGCAATTAGCAGGTGTGCTCAGTTATAATTAAACTTAATACACACGAGACCTTTATATTAGTGTTTGAACCCGCAATGATTAAGCTACCAAACTAAACGTTACATACACAAATAGACCACAACAGTATGGTAATTGTCGTTGTTTTCCATAGTAGTTGTCGTTAGGCTGCGTGCTATCGTTGTAGCAAATCCTTCCCATCCTATTATATCTTCATATGTACATGTCAAAATGTCAAATATACATGCTGGAAATAAACGCTGTCTGATCTGAGCAGACATGCCGCTTTAATCGACATTTGTTTTTTAAAGCAACGTACGCCGCGTCGTGCCTATTTTATATCAACAAAGTATCTAGCGTTTCAAATTACTAAAGAAAACGTACCGTATTGTATGCATACGGTAATAATTGACAGGAGATCCCTTATGTCTTCTTTTTTAATATTGACGTTTTATTCAGTGCAAACAGACTGTCAATTTTACGTCATCATCAGAAAGCTCAACTGTCTGATATCAAGGTCTTTACGTAAAGCAGGTTTGTCATTGACTAGCGTCGTCTCATAAACGATGATAGCCCGGGGTGTATCTTCATTGCTAAGAAGTGTTTTCATTGTCAGATTTAGCGTTCTGTTCCCGACATTCAGTGAAGTGATATGGATTAGAGAAAGATGTGTTTTATTTCTACTGTATCCAGTCTATCAGTGGGTTTACCTCAACCTTTGTTTATCTGTGTTTATTGCAATGCTTGCTTTGACAACCAGGTTATAAAGAGCATAGCCTACACTGACTCTCGGAAAATCTTTTATACGATAGGTTTATTAAACCTCTAACACTAATGAAACGGTATGAAATCAAATGAAACACGGAAAAACATTGAACATTGATTAGATTTTCTACCTGTGCTAAATGTCTAAACGTCTTCAATATTGCCTTCAGGATTTATAGGCTCAAGGCTATCGGCTACGTTCGGGGGTGGTCGTTATGGTGCACGAGTACTGTTTCGCTATTTATAAATGAAGGCTGGTTAACTTTCGCATTCCATTCACTTTCAATTGTATACAACTGTACACATTTGATTGATTTTTGTTTGAACTTTTTTATGGCTTTGCAATATTTGAATTGCATATATTTGTGTTGTCAATACATTTCTCATCTCTTTTAGTTATTCTTCGAAAAAAAACACCAAATAAAAAGTAAAAAAAAAAAACCCTGAAATTTTGAGGTGGTGTAATACTGAGGGGTTCACCATTTTATGCCCAATATTGGCACAACACGACTATTAAAAAACGCAAAATACAAACACAATCCATGTGTCTTATATAGAAAAGATATATATGTTAGTAAAGAGCTTAATTTCAGACAAGCTGAAGGTTATTTACACCAGGTTGGTTATCAAGGTATCGGATACCGGGAAATGATGCGTGGCTTATAATCAGCCTCCGGATCAATTATTTACATCCGGGTAACATATCGGAAAATAGATTATTGCAAGGTGATTTTTCTCCTTTTTAAAAATGTACGTCGCTATCGTAAATTCAAAATTCGAAAACAGCATTGTGTTATCGATTATGACGAATATACACTTAACTACTCGCCCCTTGTCTGGCATTTCTGGTGCAACCTGTATTATAGCCTACATCAGCGGAGTTTATTAGCATCTGCATGCGTGCTGTCGACTTGTGGAGTTTTACCCCATGTTTGTCGACTCCTTCGGAATATGTCATAAAATCGTGAAATGTTTACATATTACTTATCGACGTGTGTTTCCCGAGGATATATCTACATCCATTAACATATGTGTGTGGTAATATAGACGGCTGTCGACTGAATGTTTCTAAAGTGAAACAGGGATTAGGTTGAATATAACACAAGCACCATATATTTAGTGACTCGATCACAGTGGTGTTTAATTGTGTCATTGACAACGTCTCATTGAAGCATGACACGAATGCATTGTTGTAGGTGTGTATGGATGAAGGATGAGGGCGTTCTTCTGTATTAGAAAGTGAGCGAACAGCGGATCCATCTACAGGAAATACGGTATGTATGTCCGTATCTATTTAATGCGTAAAAAAAAGATATAATTACGTTTTATAAAACTGCAATTATATATTTTATGGTATTGTTTTATTTACAATAGAAATATTTATATTTGTGATATGTTATTCAGTGTAAATAAATGTCTTGTGTAGCGACAACGTATATACCTATAATTATTCACATATGGAATACTTGTGATTAATCGCAACAGAATTAAATCATTTCTGTACATGCAAGTTCTTAATTTGATATGTAAAGGTAAAGCCGAAAATGTGTCTACAACTTAATCAGAGACTACCTGTTATCATAATTAACATCAAGAGTATCGAGTGGACATGTTAGATAGTTCTACACCTTGACAAGTCAATGACGAGTGGAACAGCTACAAATAATAGTCTTTGAATACCTTCGCATAGTTGTGTAGATCAAGAACCTTGATCAGCATATTTCAAGCTTGCTATCTTAAAGAAATCAACCAATGAAATTACAAGTAATAAAGCATATCATTCAGGAATATATCACATTTGTTGCAATTTATCAAATGTCGGTAAACTCCGCGGTGCAAACAATAAATCCAACTTGATTTGTACCGTGTTAAAGGTGTCTTGTGTATTGGATTGAATCCGATTCATTCTGTTTCTAAAGATTCGTGTTGGCTCCAGGTAGGAAACAATCTTCAATGTGTATAATAAATCGCCTGAGCAGAGCCGTATTGTTCTCGTATCTATAGTCAGCTACATATAAATGCGATTATCCTACTCAATTGTGAATTAATTATATTGTTCGTTCGATTAGACGTAAGTCCAATATCAGAAATACTTATCGCAGTCTAGTTTAGTCTATTCTACAAGTCAGTATCTTAAAATGTATACCTGTGATTCATACTGAATATAGACGTTACTGTATCTTGTTTAAAAGCAGAAAAAAACGCCTTATTCTGAATGTGCGTAAGAAGATATTCAATGTTTTGTGTATTCACTAGGTATTGGCCTTTATAATGACGGAAAATCAGGATAATGGTCTGGTAAATGACATGCCTACCCAGGATTATAACAAGGTAGGTTTAAATGCCTCGCCTCATAATGATGAGACCACTGGGGTACACAGCGACAACGGAGAGGATTTGAACCATGCGGCAGTAGATCCCGAAACATCGACCAGTCCCTTCATATCTAACCCTGATGGCAATGTGAACCGTGAAATAATATCCGAGTCAGGAGTTGATAACAATCAAGAAGGTGTCAGAAAAGACGAAGTTAACACCGGAACAACTAGTGTTAACTTTAGTCACGAGGAAGACGCTCACAACAACACGGTAAATGGAAACTCCCAAAGACAGGAGGTAGGCTATGGAGGTAAGGAGGAGGAGAATTTCGGAACAAGTCAACCCTCAACTACAAGAGATGACGGTAATGAGCAAGCACTGAGCCAGTCAAGAGACAACAGTGTTAACGAGGATAAAGAACCAGACGTACCAGTAAAGTATTTCATGCCAGATCACAATACAAATGATACGATTCAGTCAGTTGATGACAAAGGGAATAATGGTGATAGTGGTGTAGGACTGGAACAGAAAATAAAGGACGAAAGTGATCACGATTACTCGGAGTCTTTCGAAGAACCTTCAAAGTCTGAACATTCGGAACCTTCTTTTCCAACATACAATAGTGATAAAGATGAAAGTTGTAACAGCAAACCTTTAGCTGAAAAAGAAGAGGAAGTCGGTGAGAATGAAACTGGTAGCAAGCTTAAAATAGCTTTACAAGACGATGTTGAATTAGAGCCAGAATTTACATCGTCACCACGTGTTCAGATAACCGATACTAGAGGTCAGTCTAAATTGGATGTAGCTGACGGACACACTGAACAGTCGGCAGCTAACGGAGAAATTACTGAAGTAAGGCCGTCTAGTCACACATCGGTAGCATCTGCAGATAGGACTGTCACAGAAGGTTCATGGCCTTCTTATGAACAAAAGGAGGATAGTAAAAGTGGCGAGGGAAATTTACAAGAAGGAGTCTTGAAAAACCAAGGTTACGAAGACAGTCAAACTAATGACAGTGTAAAAAGTCAAAATACTGTTGACAACCAGGAAAATATAAGAGAAGAAAAGCATGTTAGCTTTTCAGATGATCCAAAAGTGAAAAGTAAAAATTCTCAACTCCCTGAACCAGTCATAAAAGATAAATCGGAAGAGTCTGATACCATTACTGAGGAGAAAAAAGAAGAACTCGCTCCAAGGGGAGGCGACGATACGCTGGATGATATAGAGGCTCTTACGACTATATCAGAAGCTAATCCTGTAGACATTGAAACTTCCCAAAACCCTAATGATCAGGAGCCAGTCGCAAAAGTAAATCTCACTAAACCTGAAGTAGAGAAATCAGACATGGCGGATGATATAGCACGTGCTGATGATATACCTAAACAGGAAGGAAGTAATGATACTGATCACGAAACAGAAGAATTGACGTCTGAGGAAGTTCCTCGACCGCAGTCTGTGACAGAAAAACAAGAAGAGCATGATCAAGTTACTAGGGATGTAGAGGAGAATCAACCACATATTCAGTCATCTACTGAATCTGCAGGTCAAGAGGAGCAACACTCAGATAAAACAAACGAAGAAATTTCCCAGTCATTCGCGGACGATGAAGCAGCTCCGAAAGAAGACATTTCTGTCTCGCGGCAGGAATCAGAAAAACATGTTGACACTGGAGATGATCCTAATAAAGATTCTGATGTATTAATCCAACAACAACAACAACAACAACAACAACAACAACAACAACAACAACAACAACAACAACAACAACAACAACAACAACAACAACAACAACAACAGACTTTCAATGATTCTGATACCTCAGCAAACAAGAATGATGAATTGCAATTATCTAGAGAGGAACCAATTCCTCAGTCTGAAAAGGAGGAGGAACGACAACAGCTTCAGAATGCTGATTCGTTCGATAACCCCAACACGGATAATGATGAAGCAAAACATTCTACCGAAGAACTTCATGTACAGTCTGATAAAGAACAACACTTTTCAAATGATGGGAACCAAGGAACCGATAAGTCAAGTTCCCAAAAACAAGAATTGGATGAACTTGAGAAATCCAATCCAGACTCTGAACGAAACATTACGTCAAATGGTAAGGTTGATATTGAGGAAAGTAATACATCAGATGCTGAAAAGGAACACACTCGACCCCCAACAGAATCACAAGATCAAGTTAAAAAGCAGGATGAGCCAGAACCAGAAAAAAAACCGGAACCTCAACCAGAACAGGAACCGGAACCGGAACCGGAACCAGAACCGGAACCAGAACCAGAACCGGAGAGAATATTCCGGAATATAGAGATAGACAATGCTGTAGACACAGTTAACAATGTGGAAGTTAGTGTTCAGGAACTACTAGGAGATATGAAAGAATTAATGGACGATTATCATTACAAGTTGAAATCACAACCTCTGACAGAATTCGTACAAGACTTAGACAAGTTCCGTGGAGATTTTAAATCCATGCATGATGCTTATAAAAAATGTGATACAATGTTTATACAGCTTAACAAAACGTTGAAGGAATTACGAGTTTTAGGAGACGAATTCAACTCTTTAATGGACCGAAAGTTTCGGGAGGAGGAACTTTCAACGTGGACTGTTGAAGATGAAGATGACGGTAAGAAAGTTTTAGTAATCATTTCAATCTCTGTTCAGTCATATATATTTTTTTCCGTTTTGAGTTATGGTACCTGTTTTAGATTTTTAAAAAATGCTTCATTGCATAAGGGATTTTTTTAGTACTATACCACTTATCAATGATTAATGGAAAAACATCATTGTTTGTCTGCTATTGTGAGGTATGTACAATTGATATGATTATACAAAATTTCATTTATGAGCACAAGACGTTAATCTTAATTTGCCAAATGAAAACGTATATAATCTAAAATACATAAAAATGTCTTGTTAGTTTTTGTAGTACAAAGTTTTACAAGGTTCACGTCATCAGTATCTAAAACCCTCTAAGAGTACCATCAACATGGTGAAGCCTTCACACAAACTGTTGATATCATTTTAAATAAATGCGAAACATAACTTTCCCAGCGACACATTTTTAATCAAATATAGGTTCATTTGTTTCTATGCCCGCCGAAAGATTGTGTATGGAGAACGTGGAATGTTTTAACATGGTGATCGATTTGTACAGAAGTAGTATCCAAAACACCTGTTGTCGCAATGTAAACAAACAAAAGTCAATATTCTCCACTGAGACAAGCTTACTGTTATCACCGAGCATTCTAAAACGTATTCACTTCTATTTACTTATGAAATCAAATACACCGTCGCCTCTCCTACTTTGAGTATCATTAATTTCTCTCGACACACAGATCCTCTATACCACATTGACGTTCCCGGCTTACAATGTCAAAGCGTCCTTCTTCCTATCTATTTTGGCATGCTCTTAAGTAGAAACCATTGATTGCCACAACCGAAACCCCAATGTTAACTGTCCGTCTTTATCGAAAGCAAGAAAAGAAGGTCGCGATATTTCCTTTGAACAGTTTGCCAGGAACGCTCAACAGAATGTCGTGTTAAAAAGGTCAGACTTAAGAAGTACAAATGCCCAAGTAAACAATTCAAAACTGAAAGTATATTGAGATGTATGTTGGTGTACACAGCGTGAAATGAACTCCCCCTGAACCTAATAAAATGTTGTTATGTGTTTGGCGATGTTTATCATTATTTGAATGATACGTAGAAGAGCTAGGCATTGGCGGTGTGATAGCTAAAGATCTAGTCGTAATGAAGTTTGAAAACACATTGTCAGAAAAGGGCATTAGAAAATGGTACTAATTATAGGTTAATATTCATTTTCATCGGATAATTATCTACTTCGATATTAATGATTACTACGGTTAATGCCCGTGCAATATAGTAACCTAGCAACTAAGTAATCAAGCCATTATGTTTCCATAGTGACTTGCTACCGTGATATCCTTAGTGAAAAATCACGTCAAAATCGTCTTGTAAAGGACATATGATAAACTCTTGCTAGAAGACAACATTCTGAAAATAGGTTTGTTAAGTACATAGATCGATGTATGAAATGTTTAATATTGGACATGACGAACGTGCCAGCGATCATATATAGCCCGCAGTAACTTGATAGTGCACACATCATTGTCTTGTACTCCCTGAATTAAGACATCAACAATGCGGTCACCATGCACCGATGTCCTGTTTTCCTGACGGCTGTTAAGTCGTGAGGTTCGTTAGACAAATCAAAGGCAAGACGACTTCTAGTTATTATAGGACATTCTAGTAATCCATACCATTACGAAGCTTATCGATCCAAAGACTAGTCTATTTTAAACCTGTTTTCGTGGCAATCGTATATAATTCACTGCTGTTTTGTACTAAGAAGGATGTATAAAGATTATTATATATGCAATTCATGGACTGATTTCAATAGCATTGTACTGGAGTATTTTATTACAAAACGGGTTTATTGTCAAACAATTTGAGTACAAAACATGTTCCTTGATGTATGTATACATATAAAAAAGATATTTTTTATTACCAGCTACCATATCAAGTCATAGAAATATATGACATTTTAATCCTTCAAATAACTGTTTGCTGATTACGTAGTGCGTTTACTCCTTAAATCGATTACCGTATTAATTGTTTAGCTATTTCATGGTCTAGCTATTCATAGTCTTAAGAATTCAGTGGTATGGTCATTGAAATGGAACTTAGATTGATTTCGAGAGTATACCGTCATGCCTTTATGATATATGACATATTCGTGTGAGTTTATATATGCTTGTTAACTCGAATCCGTCCTAGTAATATTCAAACCAGTGGGGTACCAGTGTTTTGTTAACAGAAGGTATTTATATATCTGTATAAGGTTAAATGTTAAGTACTTTTTACTTATCGCAATCAGATTTATTCGCTTCAATGAACAATTACTTATACAAAAGTCATTAGAACTTCAATATATATTAAACAGACTTGTGTATTTCTTTATCGTCTATGTCGTTAGAGGTTTGTTATTCAAGTAGATATACACAGAACTTAATAATATTTATAAATGTTCAAACACATAAATAAATATGTTTTAATGACTTTTAATTATTGTAAATTTTTTTCATACTTTGATTTAAATTTAAGTTGATTTAGGTATCATGAAATGTAGGCATATGTAATTCTAAACAACATGAAACAACTACTTAGGAAACGGGTAGGACGTATTATTATCACAACGTGAGACCGTATCTCTATGGTAGATACCCACCTGGTATATCAATGAATAGTATTGGGTTCCACCTAAGTAATATTGACTGCATTGGGTGTCGCATTCCCGTGAATTGAACTGTGTGACGATCAGATGATCAAATAAATCCGCCCTGAATGACCTGAAATTTCAAGAGGAGATCAATACATGATATCTTTAGCCCAGTTTTACATAACATTTTAATGAATAATTTTAATTAGTATGAATGGCAACGGTGATGCAAAAAATATATATCACAATCTGATTTTAATTCAACTAATTTATTATAAATATCTCGTAAGTATAACAATTAATGGGAATACAGACAGAAAACAAAGAATTTAACTATTGTTTTGTTATTATATACAGCTTAACTCCTTCGTCGTATTCGTAATAGGTTAGTGCCTTAGATTTGACAATATCCGTCAACATTTTTATGAGATAAAGAGACATACCTATATTACCAAAGGTTATCATCGGGAAGTTATGTTCCGTGTATCTTATTGCGAAAAAGAAATTATCAAACATTGAAAATAATTATGGCCTTCATAAAAAATAACCAGTCTATTGATTCTTGCTTTTCGTAAAAACCGTAATTTTTTTTATCTTGCAGAAAAAAATGATTCATTTATTTGATGTCTCAACTATGAAGGTGTATCATGGATTTCTTCTTTTGTAGCTGACTACTTAAACTTAAATCACAGAAAACAACATAATGAGCATGAATAGACTAGATAGTTTGGTACTCAACTTGACATACGTGAATACATACGTGTGTTTGCATATTACTATAGTTAGTAGGAATGGTTTGAACACGTCTAAGTATTCCCTTGATAAATCGAACGAAATCAATACGAGACAAGTCCAGTCAAGGCTAAGCCCATACAACACTAATGTATTGTGAAATGAGATAATATGAACGTGTGAAAATACATATCAGTTTAATTGAACTTCAGATATGTTTGATTTAATTACAGAAGTGGTGTAATATGTACTTGTAGAAAGTAAAATATTTAAAGTAGTAAACTCAGGTTAATGCATTATACACTGAATCACCTCCTGTGATCCTACATCTAAGTTAAATTTAGGTGAGTAGCTTAACTACAAACAACAAATTTCATATCTAAATGTGTGACTTTTATTTTATATGTATATGCAATGGATTAGAAAACACATTAACTCGGGACAAAGTTAATAAGCATTCTGTTAACATTACATCCTTCCTCAATACTTTAAATATCAAATCAAGTTCTCTGACGGTATTTTTAATTTTATGTTTAAGATGCAAACACCGCAATTCAGTTGTTGAAGTCGTCTACCTTTAATGAGAATTATGGGTTAATTCTGCTGTCGTCATAGTGATCTCTGAGAAATATTCCATCTCTTGACTCCGTATGAAGCTGGTGGTCGTTTGATACTCATTAGTTTGACTGTTGGTCCCGTTGTTGTATTCTTTGTTGTCATTTGAGAAAGTGACATCACTTACATGGATTGACCAAGATTTACAAATTTTCGATGAAACAGAATTTGCTTACTCTTCCGGAACATCTGGTTTTATTTTCCTTGTACCTTTTTGGGAGTCTCCATGTAAACCTGTCTTTTGTTTATACTTGGCCATAATTATATATATATATTTCATGTATAGATACTGATCATATGTTGGTATTTTACTGGTTGTGTTATAGTGTAAAAGATCCTATATGTACAAAAACGATTACTTTCAAGTCTATTCAGATTAATTGCTTGATATGACATTTGACAAAAAAATCCTATAAGTAATAGATGCATGCCTAACCTGCCTACTCACTGAAAGCGCATGCTATATCTATATCACTATATAATATAAATTATTTGAAATGGAGACGATTATGGATAAATATGTCCAAACTGGCACTACGTGTGACTAACGAGAATATATTACAAACTGTTAAAAGATAAATAGGAATATAACAACAAATGTTACTTTGATTGAAAAGAAATCTAATTGCTCACAAAGACTGAAAATAAATAAAATTGCTCTCAAAGATAGAAAATGAACGACAATGACGTCAAACTACGTATCATACGATATGGTGATGTACATTGTTGTTCTGAGACGATCAATTAATTTATATTGCAGAAAAAGATCGAATACAAGCTGAACGAGTGGCCGCTACAAAAGCAGCAATAGCAAAAGCTACAGATGCTCGAGCATTTGTGGCAAAGGCGGCAATCGCTGTGGCTGAATCCAACTTGCTCGCTGGAGAATGTGAGGCTGACGCCGCCGACGCCGCCTCGACGGCCGCCAGGGCGTTGGAACTAGCGCAAAGGGCAAGAAAGGACGTAGAAGATGCATTATTGGCTGCAGAGGAAAAACGCAAATCCGAAGAGATAGCTCGTGAAAGGGCTGCAGAGAGAGCACGGAAAAAGGCGGAGGAAGAGAAAAAGAAACAAATCGAGGAAGACAAGCGAATAGCATTAGAGGCTAAGAAGAAAGGGACATCATTTGCTGACGAAAAGAAGCGTACTCTTAATGAAAAGGCACGCAAAGAAGCTGAACGACGCAATCCAAAAAATTGGCGTCGACTTGTGTAAGAAAATATACTATGTACCGTATACATCGTTCACTCTGTAAAATATGTATATCATATAATGAATAGGTTAACAGCAATTCCGTTTTCTAGAAAATAAATAATGTATGAAATAAAGTTATACTAGGTCACACATCAAAAGCACAATAATGTTGTTACTTAAAAGCTAAAAGGGAGTCCACCCAACACAAACATCCTTATCAATGGTTGTGTTTCTTTTAACTTTATCACAGTTACAGCGCTGAGGGCGGAGACTTTGATCCTGGAGTGGGTTGTATCCTCAGAGCTATCGACAACTGTCTGGACCGGGACGATGTAAATGTGGTCAGACTCGATCAACTGTCGGGAGTTCTGACCCTTGTCGATAATGAAGAGCTCATCAGCAACATCATCAAGATTACACCATCAGACGCCGAACGAAAGTTCTCGGTATGGAAATAATGAATTGATTCTTACATAATATACTGCTTTATTTCTGTACTGTATCTAATTCTAAATTCAAAAGCAAAACATTAATCAAATATATGTTTCATGAATATTATGGGCATGTAGTACATCTGTATTAGCATGATAGCAGCTATTTTTTTCTTTTGTTTTGTTTTTGTTTTTTTATATATATTAACTACATTCCTGTTTAACAAAGAGAGAAACGAAAATATATTCTAAGAAAGTTTTGGTTATATTCAGCTGGGTACTACTCATACCAATAATATTATGACATATTAAAAACAGTTTGAGGAGCCGTTGGCTTTGTCTATTCCACACTGCCTCCCAAGGGCTGTAGCTGGCAGGGAAGTGGTGGTAAAGACAATAGGGTCCAACGGGAAGTGGGTGGAGCTTCCTACCAAAGACGTCGTATTTGAGGATATCAAGGTAAACAGATATATATAGTCAAATACAGTTAGCATTGTATTATGTACATTGTATAGACAATTGTCCTTTGGTTACATGAACTATAATATTCTATTTGATAAAACAATTTCCTCTGTTAGTGCATGTGTACTTGACAACACCTAACAGGAGACAATAGAAGCACATGTAACATGATTAAGATCTTAGCAGTAAGGGAACGTATTTTCATATTATAAGCCAATGAATTGTATGGGGATTTTCTCTATAGGAAATGCGCTTTGGAGAAGCTCAGACGCGAAGGTTTGGTGTGTTTGCTGTGGTGCTTCGGCTAAAGAAGGATACGCTTACATTCGTCCGGAAAGGAAACAAAATACACACGGCTGTAGATGCACGGGTGTCGTTCACGTGTCCGCCTGGCATGTTCAAAACCAACACTAACTTTACTGTAGAGGTACCCTTCGATTATTTATATAATAAAAAAAGCCATCTTCTTTTTGAAATAGTTATGAAAATTGAAAAATGCACTTTCTTGAGATTGGGCAGAAATCGGCGAAACATTATTTCATAACATCAACGTAAAATGTTTGTTACAAAATTTCCCAGGTTCAACCAATTGACCAGACGGTTATAACCGATCTCAAATACAAACGTCCAGTGGAATGCGCTAACCTCATGGCTTGTAGTCCTATAATGAAGTTCAGCATCCAGAATAGGAAATTCAACAAGGCACTCACCATGACACTACCCTTACCCCCGAATCCTACTCGACCCAAGAGACCGAACACAGCAGCGGCGTCAATGCCCAAGGAGGACAAATCTGAACCACGCCCAGTCACGGCCCGTCCACTAGTCTCTTTCAATGCCAACAAGGAAGGTATGTTTAAGTGTCTCAACTGAATAGATTCTTTTACATCTTTTTTTAAACTTTCTTATTCTACGCACAATCAATAAGGGGTTCATCAATAAAAATAATGTATAAAGTAACCACTTTGTTCTCATCAACCGTCAATATTCTGCAGTAAAATCTAAAAAAATCAGATGATAAAAACCACTTAGCAGATCAGACCATCTCGAAGTATGAAGACACATGCAGAACCATTATTGTAGGTGGACCGACAGCTTTGCTTAAATGTTAACCTTTTATCTAATTTAGTTTAATAGATTATAAACCAAATTGAGCTCACTGATAGCTATACGTCGCCCAATGACAGTAAATGGCAAAAGTTACCGGTTTTCAATTAACATACATGTATTCACATAAAATATTCATATTTTACTTGTAATATTTTCATTAATATATTGACAATTAATGAAATAAATCATTCTATATTGATTTGAAATTAGGTTTTCGAGCAAAATTCTTCAATAGAAAATATCGATGGCCGCGTACGCACTCACAGGCGGGAAGTATTAAGCTGCAAATACATGTCTTCATACACAGTGAACTGGGTCACGTTCTAGACTATTTATTTGGTTGAGGAACTTTGAAAGAGCTCATCCCTTTTCCGTTGTCATACGATTCAGAAGAGTTTAACAAGAAAAGTCACACTTAAAGAGAGATCAGAAAAAAAAGTGATTCTGTTACCACAATATACCACAATGTCTGTGTGTGCAGTTTGATAGACCAAGAACATCTGTATATAGGATAGCAAAATGAATTTGATAATTATTCCTCATGCAGAGCAGTTTCAAATTGTAAAAGATATCATTTGTATAATCGGTTTTTTACAGTTAGTGAACAATACCTTTATCAATAAAGATAATCATCAATTTGTGCACTTGAATTAACAATTTACACTTCTGCGTCACGACTCTTTGTGCACTTTGTCTTGCAATTATCATATAGATTGTGTGTCCAATATGGCGAGATGTCAAAATACAATGTATCTATAAGTTTGATGGGGCAGATTAATGAAATGCAGTTAATGGTCTGAAAAAAAATGTGACTAAAGTTTTAAATTTCCAGTTAGGGTTTTTTGTTTAAACATGGGAATTTACCGTGCATTTATCAAGAATATAAAATATATTTACGTGTCATTTACCTTCACAGAGGAGGTAGAAGAAGAACTTCATCTGTTAGTCTGCGAAGAAGGTTGTCTATGGACGAAACTTACTGACGTCACTATAGTACAAGCCAAGAACAAAGACATCGTGACATTAGAGGTCAAGGAACCACATGACCGGTAAGTTGTGCAATGTTTATCACTAAACATAAAAGGAAATAAAGGAAAATGCTAAGTTGTGGGGAGGAAAAGAAAATTCAAAGATGTGGGAAATAAAGAATAATGATAAGATGTAGGAGGAATTGACATTTCCTAACAAACTACCTTTTTCAAATTGTTATTAAAGTTGTCGATTCCTTCTTATGAACAACATAATATATGGCCATTCAAACTAAGAGCTAGACCGCAGAAATATGTGTTCAAGTTACATCAGGTTACGTGAGTATTCTCTTCATATAAAACACTATTATATGTAGTATGAAATGATATTTAACAAAAGTATGTATTGCCCTTTTTCAGATTTCTGGTGATACGCACAGGCCTTGGAGTAGGTCCCCAAAAGTTAGAGGCAGCAGCCGGATTGCTAGAAATGTCGGTAACCCAAAGGTCTATTAATGTGTTTCTTCGGCAGTTAAACACTAATCTGACCAAGGTTGTTGTAGGGTGCTGCAAGAGTAACAAAACGGAAAAGGAACTTAAGAAATTGGCAGCGGATGGATACGAAGATGGTCCGGCGCCAAGTCGTGAAATTATTGTAAAAGAAGGACAAATTATGAGAATTGCGTTTAGAGGAAATATACATTGTACAACAGAAGACGTGGTGCTTCAGTTTATATATAACACGCATATTAAGTCTAAGGTGCACTACTCCATTCTTGAGACGGACCGTTTTGCACAAAAGGGATTTAACTGTTACCGAGGTTTCTCCCAAATTTACACTAATGTGCTAGTGCCAAAGCCAGTACCACCGTCAGACAAGCCCAAACAGAAACAAATAGTCACAGAAATGATGGAGGAGGAGAGATTAGTGGCCGAACTACTAATGAACATACCCAAAGTAAGTCGTACTCGACGTGGCTAACAGCAACTGCAGGTGTATAGATATTCTGAGCTGGCTAGCATGTGTTCGACCATATGTCGACAGGGTCAGTAGGTTACATGTTGTCTACTCAAGAAAAATGTACAAGAGAAAACCACATTCAAGTAAGATAGGGAAATGAAATCTTTACTCAATAGTCCCCTTTTCGTCATTTTGTAATTCAAGGAACTGTGATAAGGTTTGTTCTTACATTTTTGTTCAATTATACCCTTTATTTAAGGTTTTAATACCGATATTTTTACCAATAAAAACCTGTCCACTGCAGTTTTCATGAATTTCACGATTCCTAACTTCAAAAGGGATCTTACAATCATCTGATTGTATTGTCATTAAATAACGATGTGTCTCGAGTATCCTTATGTAATGCACCCCTTTTGGGATTTTTTCGAAAAATGGACTTTAAGGTTTAATCCTTGAGTTCCGAATAACAATAGCTTTGTAGTAGCGTAATTAGAAAACTTTTATAGCCACACCCTAACAATAGTGAATGGACGTTGAATATAAAGTTAAAAATATAGCGCCAAAAATGACAATGATATATTTGTTTACATTCATCACAAAAACAAATTAAACACATGTTGTTTAGCTTTTAGAAATGCTGTTGACGTTTGCTTCAGAATCACTTGTTTAATGGGAACTCACATGATACGTTCATGTTCACTTTGTAAATCTAACCATATTGGTTCTATTGCAGCCGGAACCTGAGCCTCCCAAGCCACTGCGCACAGCTCCTATTAAGATCACCACAGAAGGTAAACATAGTCTTCAGTGCTACAGACTTTTCCTTCTGCATTCGAGCGAGCAATCAGTATAGAGTATTTGTTTGAACTTGGAAAACTTGAAATCAATAGAAAGATAATTGGAAAAAAATTGGCCGTCCGCCAAGTATCTCGTTCATTTGTCTTATCGACATTTGAGTGTTCGACTACAATGAACCAATCGAAAAGTTGGGTAAAGGTTCATAACTTCTACAGCAACATCTAAATGATATTAGTATTTTAGAACGTATCTTCTTAATCATTGTTTATCTCAATTTGCAATGTTTTCATCATCTTCAACATTTCCTGAGAAAAATAAGCAAAAATTAAGGAAAAATAAATTAACTTGAAATTAAACTAAATAAATAAAAAGAGTATTTTTTTCAAACTCAGCGTGTGATATTGTAAATGATTATCTTAAATCTATGTTTCATATTATATAATTATTGTAATACGATATTGCATCCAATGATATATTGCTACTTCTCGCGCAGGTCCTGACACACAGGACGCACTCATGTACTTGGCCGGAGAGCTTGGAGATGAATGGAAGAAATTAGCACAGTATCTCAACCTCAAGAGTGTCAGGATACAGGCTATTCTCAGACAGAACAACATGAACCCTGACCCAAAAAAGATCCGGTATGACATGCTAGTCACATGGGCCAAGAGGGTACCGAGGAGTGCGAACAAGGTATGCGATAGAGCGGGACCTACAGCATTGTGTACTATACAGGGATAGCGCCCTCTCCAAGTCACCTGGCCCCACTTGTATAAAACATCTCAACTTGAGATTTCCTCAAGTCGAGATTTTCCTCAGCTAATATCTCCTTAAAAATATCTTGTATGAAAATCCCTCAAGAAATTTCAGGACATCTTAGCCGATGGCTTCCTCCTGTTCCTTGAGAAAATTTTATAAAAGCCGTTTTTGAGGAGATATCAGCTGAGGAAAATCTCGACTTGAGGAAATCTCAAGTTGAGATGTTTTATACAAGTGGGGCCTGGTCAATCAAAATCTCTTATAAGTATCCATAATTTGAGTTCATTGAAGTTTTCGCCAACAGCATTTCTTAATGGGCTCATGAAGACAAAATTACTAAAAATACAAAATTCAAGAGTAGACTGTATCCTACCTTATTTCCTGAATGTGCTCAATAACTCATAACGAGTCTATCAAGGTATCTGAGAGATGTATTGTACCGTCAACTAAATAAATGTAGACAATTTATGTTCAAGGCTACATTTGAAGAATGCATGTTCTATGTAAATATACTATAATAATTCAGGTTTTCGAATGTGTGTGAAATACCTCTTCATTTCATATAATTTTTATGTAACCAGTTGGAGATACTAGCACATGCTCTCCTGGCGAGCGGACGAGGAGACCTGGCGGAGGAACTTCGTGAACGCGACACGGAATTCCGCCGGAAACGAAGTGCCGCCCTGCGAGGTAAAAAGTAGTCCAGAAAATGTGTGTATTGTGTTCCTAAGTAGTAAATAAATGTTTCGTGGAATCTGTGATATATAACACATCGCTTTGTAACAATATTTTCTGTGTGGTAAGTTAGATATTATTTCCTGCATTTTTCCAAAACCTTTTAGTCAATACAAATTAAGTATGTTTATCCATTATTCGGTTTTTCTGTCCTGTATCACATTGTTTTGTTGATTTAAGGCTTATATCATTCAAATATAAATGAATAAGATTGCGATCTGAATGACTTCAGATACCTACCTGAACCGAGCCTTCGTCAAGGTAGCGCAAAACCCGACCGCTGTTAAGGAATGGAAGACAATCGCCAAACGACTTGGAGTCTCAGACATGGATGTGACTGAAATTGAGCGGACCAAGCCCTCCATCCAAGAGAAGTGCTATCACAGTCTCCGTCGGTGGCAGACGACAAGCGGAGAACAAGCGTCACTTCCGGTTCTTGGTGCTAAGCTACGTTTGTGCAACTACAGAGGACTTGCAAGTAAGTGTGCCGTGTTTATAGATTAAGATAAACAATGATGACTAAGTATTCAGATGTCATGAACAATTAAAACTTTCAATTAATGATAAAGTTAAAATTCAATTCAGCCAGGAGGCTTTTGCTTAAGGATGCAGATGAAATAATTAGTTTTGTCGTTTTTTATAGCAACACGTACATGTAGAACGAAATCATTGTCTGAGATTTGAGACAAGATATGCTTCTAATTTGATTTGACTGTAGTACAGAAGTCGTGTAATTGAACACCTGGAAATCATTTATATCTTTGAAAGGAGTAATGTTTAGAAAAAAATTATGATAAATCCCCTATTGGGAGTCATTTCTGGTTTGAACATATTCTGTTATCTGTTTTTCAGGGGACATCGAAACGATAGGATAAGGCATATTTGCTGAAGGATATGACGGATTAATTGTTTTTACGAAGTATATATAGTTATTGTAGTAAATTGTTCAGCATCAGTGTACCTTGTCCCTGTCTGCCATACCTTTACCTCCATTTCAACCAAATAAGGTTGTCTCCACAGTACATATACCCCCGTGGAACATCACCGTTTTCTGACAACACATGTCCAGATATGTGAGACATCGTCGCGGAATATATCATTATATCTACTGGAAACCACATCACTGCATTGCAATATACTTGATTTTACTACCTTGGATAGTACCATGTCCCCATGGACATTCCACTAAGACATTGTTGTAGCTAACTCTTCGATACGACTCCAGAAGCGATGTCAAATAAGGTATGGCATTGTGAATTATCCCGTCTGTGATAGATTTTGTTGATTTAGTTGAAACAAATATATTTTTATATGTTTATTATACATCCTTCTAAGTTGTGTGAATGTATTAACGTCTATTGTTATTTATTTGTTTAAAAAGAGGTGAAGATATGATGAATTATCTTTGTATGTAACATCGTAAAATATCAGTTTTGTTACTTTTTTGACATATCTCTATGCTTACGTACGTTATATTGTCATTTCCTGTATCTACACGTCACACTGGCAATTTTATCATACTGTCGGCGTTATATTATATTACATGTAGCAATTTCTATATACAAGGTAACCCTGTTATTTGTTGAAGTTCAGAATATCTGTGATAGAAATACGACTTGTATAGTTCTCTGTTCTATGTAAAGCATTATGGTGTATATGTTATGTAGGGAGAGGATCCTAGCTTTTAGTATGTATATTGATACGAGAATAAAATAAAATGCGTTGTCGGGGTGGTTGTGATGCTTGGAAACAATCAACAGATCTGTGATCGTACTTCATGTAAGGGAGATAACTCTTGTGATTTGCAACTGAAAGCATGAAACAAGGTAAACTTATTTTTATATAACAATTCAGAAAAGTAAACTTAGGGTATTTTAAAGATAGTATCACTATAGATAAAAATTCAGCACAAGTTAAAATTACATCTGATTTACTCATAGACATGAAATATATATACTTATCAAATATAATTGCCGTGTATACACATACTATACCAAAGTTGCCCAATCTAAAGCTTCCTTTGTTATTATTGTTGCCTAAGTAACTGTAATAGGAAATGTACATTGTATATCAATTCTTGTAGAATTAAATCATTACAAATGAATATTTGTTTGTATTTTTTACAAGTCTATGGATGACATACGTTTATCCATAGTTGGGCGGGGATGTTTGTCTTCAAAACCTTAGGTCTGTAGGTGGTTTGACTCTCCCTATATTGAATGAGTGGCCTTTCGCGGGAAAAATGTTGATTGGAGTTACTGTTCTGGTTTCGACGGGCCTCACGCATGTTGTTCGGAGAGATATCCACCAACTACTGCTAGGAGACCTCAACTCAAATTAAATGATCATGCTGTTCACGGGGCGATAAACTAAGCAAAAAATATGTGACATGAAGCATCTATACTCAAAAATACATAGAGAATCCCAGTCTGTCATCATTTCCTTCACTGTACCTGTCGTTACATTATGGGAATATCTTACTGCAAGGCATGTTCTTCAATCCTGTCTACGTTAAAGGGAGGTCCTAGTCACGGGCAAAATAAACAATTCCTAGTAGCCCCCAGCCCTTATAAAGATACGTAACGTTAGGACGTGCCGTTCCGTGAGGTGATGTACGTTGTCAGGACGCCCTACAAGTTCCGATCTATACATTGTGAGGGTGGCATTAAGCTTCCTTTTGGAGGCAGTGTCTTACATACGATGATCACTTGAGGTATTTCCTGGTCTACACTTGTCTATAGGCCTGTGTAAATTGTAGGGACACTCTGCGTTCACGTACAACATATACACTTGTACCTACATTCTGTGATGTCTTACTTCCAAGAATTTTCTTAATTATGAACTCGCGGTTTACCTTTCATTACATTATTAATTAATGACTACCATCTCATCGAATCCGCACCGATAAGTACATACATAATGTAACGTTCTACCATCATTTACTGCACTTTGCGGTAAGTTGTATTGTTAACTTTTAACAGCACTGAATAACACATATCCTATTAGGGAACGTGAGGGTAGCAACGTTTTATATCATCAGCCAGTGCCAATGTTTCACATTTTGTTAATACCGTATAACCGATTATTTTCGCGGGTTAAAAATTTCGCGATATTCATTTGATTTCGAGGATCTTATTTTCGCGATCTGCTTTTTGAGACATCTTTCTCCCATGTCAACTTTCACGTACGTGATTGCTGAATTATCGGTCAAACACGACTGTGATTCGGATTTCAGCTTTTAAACGCAAATAATTCGTACCATGTATCACTTAAACTGTATCAACTTACCGTTCCTTCAATTGGAACTGGCGAAATATTCTCTGGTAGTTTTGAAAGTCGTATAGACACTATAACAAACAACAAATTGTAGATACTGTTCCATTGTTTCGCGGTTAATATTTACCAAAGTCTTATTATTATTCCATGGATCGAATTTCGAAGTCTTATTATTGCAGCCCAGAATAGCGAAAATATCATCTCTCAAATTGACTAATAGGTACATTATGAGTTCCCGTCTTAACATTGTGGTTGCGTCCTACTTGGTGGCACTGTGAACCATTTCTAACAGTCCTTGGCTACGTAAATATTTCTTGTACTCCATCTTCATTACGTCGTCATATCGACGTAGGAGAACACAGTGTTGACCAATGAAAAACTCCATTCCGCAGAGTCGGTCTCGCGTTTCCTGACTGTCAAGAACGATAATCCACCTAGACTTTGGTACGAACTGGATGGAGACAATTTTACTTCCTCTCCTGTAGTATAACATGTCTTTCATCTTATTTAGGACATCTACATGTGTAGCCGCACTACTTTTAAGTTCAAAACACACTGCAGATGGTACGAGCTGTGGAGGGTCTTTCTTCTTGATGGTCGGGCACTCAACCTTCTCTTCAACCTTTCGCTCCACCTCCTGGCTTATCGTCTCGCTGTATCTAACAAGAGATAGTGATTTATCTATCAACATTAATAAACTGCCTTGAAAATGGACACTTTCTTATACACAACATAAAACATAATTATTTTGGTAACCAAATTTGAAATGACGTAACCCCGGTTGCTTAAAGTTTAGCTAAATTTAACCAGTGGTTAATGAAAAATTCAAAATTTTGCCACTGAAAGAACAATATTTTGAAGGCAAAAAAGAAACTAAAAACACATTGATCTGACCTGTCGCAATCAATTTCCAGAATATTAATGATACGGAGTGATCCAAATTTTGTTTACATTAAATTAGTCATTGAAAATCTTATCTCTAACCAGACAAGCGGGACATGTTTGACAGTGTGTTCTGACCTAACACACGTTTGTGGGGGCAGTTTTACTTTTTATTCCAATATTCACCTATTCGTTATAGTGATATAATCATGATGAATATGTGACCTCACCAAAACGTTTACTGATTATACCACATGGGTGATATCACTAAAATAGTTAGATGATATTAAAATAAAGTTTAAATAATTATGGTGACATATTTATATATTTGATACATCATTATGCTGATATCGAATATGTGATTTCCGAATAATGGGAGTTTGCGATGCAACAAGACATCATATTGTAGAAACATATTTGGTGATATTATCGTGTTTTATCGGGATTTCCTTTGGAGAAAGAAAATCTTCAGCAAAAACTTATACTCAAAATATAACAGATTTTTCACATGCAAATTTCTTTAACTTGGGACGTCATTAAATACCATAATTTATTACGGATTTCTTTGGAGAGGAAAACCTTGAAATGTAATTCACAACAAATATAAACTTATACATTTTACACATTCGAGTTTCTTTAACTTGCGGTCCTCATTAACCGAGTTAATGATCTAAACATTCACAAAATGTCGATACGTAAGAATTCACGTCTTTGTGCCATCAATATATCTCCATAAAACCACTGTTTGTTGTTATATAAATTAAATTATTTTTAATCTAACTAAAAAAATTATATTCAACAAATTCACAGATGATAAAATATATTAACTGTATATTTTCTCCGTACATAACGTTTTCCTTAAAATTACGGTCAATGGATTTGTCCACTAATTTAAAGTCCAGTAAAAACTTTGGAGGCCTGATGATACAAGTATTATACAGTGAAACCTCGCTATTGAGACCACTTTGGGGACTGGACAAAAGTGGTCTTAATAGCGTGGTGGTTTTAATAGTGAGGTGGATCAGATTGACCGCAAAGGACCGTAACTCTGTATAAAATAGAGACTTTATATATATATCAATAAATAATGTACATGTATATCAATCAACAATAATAACTAAACTGTATATAAAATGTTGAATTTCATGAAATGCATATATATGTATATATTCCTTAGTTTATCTCATAATGTACATTTATATTTACTATTGTAAACATTGAATAAAAGAAAACAAACATTCACTTTTAAGTACAAAAGGAATTTAAAGTTAATTTTTCAATTTTTTCACCTAAATTTACAAACACAGTAAAACACATTGAAGTCAGGTATGTATAGGGAGTATGAGAACCAATCGCGGAAAAAATTGAGATTTTACAAGTTTGTATTCTGGCTGACATCTCCTATCACGAGTTTTCGTGCAGGTAGTTGTCTGCTGTAAATTAAATGTGTTCTATTTGATAGTCAACAAATAAATAATGTATCTTCTCCGATTGGATTTAACATGGCACACCGTAAACAGCTATAACGGGTTTAGTTGTGTGGTAGAGCGGCGCCAAAAATACCGTAATGTTTTACAATGAGCCAATCTTATCACTGTTTGATCAGTGTATCTACAATCAATTGTAATCTTATCTATCTGTTGCTGTATTGACATCCACAGACTATAAGTAACAGATCAATGAGAAATATCAATTCGCCAATGTTTACTTAAACGTACGTAAACTAAGTTATATATACTAGAATCTTAAACGAGTTTCATTTCATGTGATATTTAATGAAATGAGAATCAGAACACTTTTTTTTTTTTTTTTTTTTTTGAAAAATTGAACAAAAACAAAAAAACAAAAAAAATACAAATTCAATACGAATTTCACAAAACCTAACATATAAAACGGAATTTCATTAAAGATATTTTTTATCAAGATGGCAGCTATTTTGTTCTTTCTGATTTCCCAGATTTACTGCCCTTCGTTTCATACTGTCCTCTCCCAGAGTTACTGCCCTTTGTTTCACTCTCTCATCTCCCAGAGTTACTCCCCTTCGTTTCACTCTGTCATCTCCCACAGATACTGCCCTAAGTTTCGCTCATTCAGTACATCGATAAGCTTGACATCCCACGAGGGTCGAGAATGATTTTGTTCTTGTTTATATTATGACATCACAATCTATTTCTGACATATAGATAAAACATGGGAGGACCAGGCGGATTGTTTGATAAAAAATACTTATGTATATAATCTCACCAATATAATCAGAGCAGCTAAATGAGACATATATAAAAGTTAATCAACTTTTAGGAAAAAATATGAAGGGTTTTATGCATGTACCATACTTTTGAAATGGTGAGGTTAAAAATCGGGATTTTAACTTCGCTATCAAACCTCTGAGAGAGTATTGTCAAAACTTCTTAGTCGTACATAAGCCACTGTTGATTTGGTAAAACCACGGATGTAGATATATACATTGTAACGTTTGTTACAGGTCATAAACAACACATTCAAGAAGTATCTACAAACCTGCTAAAACATAGCATTTAAAGGGGTATTAACAACGGTATTAACAAAGGGGAAGTCCATGTGTTTCGGACAAGGATAAATCGTCTTCTGTTTCCTTGACAACACCTGTCATGTAAATCCTGGTCAGTTCAAGTATTGTCACGCATTCAAAATGAGAGATGGGTTAGTTACAGGTATCGAACACAGCCAACAAAGAAACCATCAGGCATTTTAATGAGTATAGATAACATAGAACAGAAGCTATTATAACATAACCGGAAGAAGATTTAAGTGTGACGTTTCGATGACTACAAAGTCACCTTCATCATACAAATGACTAATGAGAAGCGAGACTGGTGTACGAGATGGTTAGAAATCGACAAATTTGTATGGCGTTACTATAATCTTATGTACCCTAAAGTCGACAATAGTGTGACGAGATGGTAGAAAAGATTATAGAAAAAAGTAAACAACATGGTAACAATGTACTAGAAGACGATTAGGCTACACTTTGTATAACACTTGGTCCTAGATGTTCAGGAGGATGATGACAATGTAGACATAGCTATGTTAAAAAATGTGTCTTTTTATCATAAAACAAAGCCACCAGACATACTAACGAGTATCAAACACATCTAACTTTATATCACACAAGGAACCCACCAGACATACTAACGAGTATCAAACACATCTAACTTTATATCACACAAGGAAAACCACCAGACATACTAACGAGTATCATCACATCTAACTTTATATCACACAAGGAAAACCACCAGACATACTAACGAGTATCATCACATCTAACTTTATATCACACAAGGAACCCACCAGACATACTAACGAGTATCAAACACATCTAACTTTATATCACACAAAGAACCCACCAGACATACTAATGAGTATCATCACATCTAACTTTATATCATTTACTGAGAGGTAAAAGAAACGCAATTAGGAATTTCCAGTTCAACTACGGGAAATAAAAAAGGGTTTTAGAATGTAATTATGGTGTAACTGGAAGATAGTTGACCACTCTGTCATCTACGAGAATTTTATTCGTGTATGTTAAGTAAACCTTTCAAATTTGACTTTGATTCAAGAGTACCCCACTCAAAATGAAGTGCGTTCTGGACCCATCAATATCGTGTGTGCCCCCCGCGAGCTGCAGTAACTGCACGAACTCTTTTGTGCATTGAATTGATCGGGGTATTAACCCTCCTCATTGGTATACGATTCCATTCCTCATCCAGCGCCAACGCCAACTGAGCGACGTTGATTGGAGGATTCGGCCTACGTCTTATCCTTCTGTCCAACTCATCCCAAAATTGTTCTGTTAGGGAGAGGTTAGGGCTGTATCGGGGCCAGTTTAGGATGGGGACATTGTTTGTTGCGAGATAACCACGGCAAGCCCTCGCTACATGCGGTCGCGCGTTGTCCTGCTGAAACGTCAGTTGACGCTGCTGTACTAGAGGAACACCATGCGTCGCTAGGACTTGATCTCTATACCGGACAGCCGTGAGATTTCCCTAAATAACGACCAGAGGAGTCTTGATACCATGCGCAATCCCTTCCCATACCATGGCCGATCCTCAACTAAAGCAGTCATTCTCTATCACGCAAGCATCTGCATAGGGCTCATGGGTACGTCTTTAGACACGACGTCGGCCGTCTGCCCGGTAAATCGAAAACCTGGACTCATCTGAGAACAGGACCCTTCTCCAACGTTGCATTTGGAAGCGTCTTACGGAATGTGCGTTCAGCCATTGCATTTGTTAGGCACGTCGCCGCGCATTAAGCTGTGGTCCAACATATGGCCGCCGCGGTCTTAAACCAAATGCACGCAGTCGAGTACGCACTGTCTTTGGATCAATTGGAACATGATGACGCCCAATTGTGTTCATTGCTGTTTCCGTGGCCGTCAGAAAGCGATTGCGTGGGTGCGAAAGTCGCATTGCCCCATCCTGCCGACGCGTCGTCACTCGAGGACGACCGCTTCGGGGACGGTCTGCAACCATTCCGGTGGCATGTAGTCTTTGGATGAGACGGAAAATGTTCGTTTGATGGACTTCAAATTGATTAGCGACATGATTTTGTGGGGTGCCTTGCATAAGAAGTGCAATGGCACGACCCCTGTCAACTTCGGACAGTCGTGGCGTTTTTACGTTGAGCTGTTTATGCTTAAAATGTGGGAAATCAAGACGGATATGTCTGAAGATTCGCACACACAGATTTTGAACCAATCCTTTATACTGGGTTCGAGATATCGTGCTTTTGTCTCTTATTCTTTTGTTCGAGCGGCGTGTGCAGTTTAGTTATGCATCAGTGATTTTGATACGGTACCATAGGGACCTAACTCCAATGCTCACATTTGTCAAGTTTTAAGGGTGTACGTCAAGGATTTAATTTACAATATTAACTCTCTGCTAATTGCGTTTCTTTTTCCTCTCAGTATACAAGAAAGCCACCAAGCATACTAACGAGTATGATCATATCTAACTTTATATCACACAAGGAAACCACCAGACATACTAACGAGTATCTAATACATCTAAAACCATGTTATACATGTATATTGAAACAGAAATTCTCCATGAGATCATGATGGTGACTTTTAAGACTTACCATTCATCAACTTGCATTTTTGCATGTTTTATTTGTCAGCTGCTGACGGTCATGCGGTTGAGAACATTAGGTTTGGAAAGTGAAGTTATGTTATAAGAACACGTCAATAGATTTATTACTACACATGTACTTTTGAGTTTACTCTTTATTGAAATTTCTCTTCGTTATTTCAACTACTGCAGCGGTACGTTTAAGTTAAAATAGCTTTAACCATCCTCGATATTCCAGGAGTTACAATCACATTCGCTCTCTTTACCCCTGGCAAAACTGAGTGTTCCGTGTGCGACACTTTGTGGACAAGCCGAAAATACTAGTACGATTCTTTGATATACACTAATCGAATCGGAAGGTCGAATAACGGTATATTAGGGACTTTGAAAATAGGTGTCGCTTTTTTTAAATTTTAAAACGGAGCATATCAGTCTATGATTGGTAAATTGTTTTGTTTGTTTGACCAGTCGTGCCTTCAATTTTGCCATGACACGTTCCTGGGGTGCAGAGAATGAAAGTGACCGTAACCATTGAAGTTTCGAGTATGGCTTTTATTGGCACGTTTTTTTTTTCTCTTTTTTGAATATCAAAAAGTTCAGGGTGTTCAAAAGAGTTGGTTTACAGTATAACATACATAAGTATGTACATATATATTGGGATTGGTTTACAGTATAAGATAATAAGTACGTATATATATATTGGGGTTGGTATACAGTATAACACACATAAGTATGTATATTTATATTGGGGTCGGTATAACATACATAAGTATGTACATTTATATTGGGGTTGGTATAACATACATAAGTATGTATATTTATATTGGGGTTGGTATACAGTATAACACACATAAGTATGTACATTTATATTGGGGTCGGTATAACATACATAAGTATGTACATTTATATTGGGAACATACATAAGTATGTACATTTATATTGGGGTCGGTATAACATACATAAGTATGTACATTTATATTGGGGTTGGTTTACAGTATAAGATACATAAGTACGTATATATATATTGGGGTTGGTATACAGTATAACACACATAAGTATGTACATTTATATTGGTGTCGGTATAACATACATAAGTATGTACATTTATATTGGGATCGGTATAACATACATAAGTAGGTACATTTATATTGGTGTCGGTATAACATACATAAGTATGTACATTTATATTGGGGTCGGTATAACATACATAAGTATGTACATTTATATTGGGGTCGGTATAACATACATAAGTATGTATATTTATATTGGAGTTGGTATAACATACATAAGTATGTACATTTATATTGGAGTTGGTATAACATACATAAGTATGTATATTTATATTGGGGTCGGTATACAGTATAACACACATAAGTATGTATATTTATATTGGGGTCGGTATAACACACATAAGTATGTATATTTATATTGGGGTCGGTATACAGTATATCATACATAAGTATGTATATTCATATAGGGGTTGGTATAACATACATAAGTATGTACATTTATATTGGGGTTGGTTACTTGGGAGTATCCACGAGAGCATATTGGTATTGGTAAGCAATTGCTTCGTTCTGAAAAACAATATATTTAAAACAGAAACAATCATTAGGTATCATGTTTCCGTAACCTGCTCGGTGTTCAACTAATTTGTTTACTTTTTAATTTGTCACTCATTAATTTCAGTTGAACGGAGAACTACACATGCAATGTATACAGATTGTAAAAATTTATGTTTGACAATATATGAAACTTTTTTCAAAAACAGATTGGAACCATAATTGTATAACCAATACGTCGATATGTCAGACTATAACTACCATGGGAATGAATGTTATGATAACATCACTTACTGTTTCACTTTTGCTGGTTCTGCAGCAGGTTTTTCCGTTACTGTGACTCCAATTTTCTTTATTTTCACGTCCTTTTTATCGAGTGAGTTCCAGAAGCCGAGCTGATGTAGTAACTCATTCTCCTTAACCTGGTTCGATTCTGATCCCTCTTTTGACTCTGACTGGTCAGCTTGAACAGCCGTGGCCACTTGGTCATCTGGCAATTCCGGCCAGTTCTCCTCTACCGCTTGACTAGTGCTTGAAAGGTTAACGCTGTGATTGGGCTCCATCTTATATTGTTTCAGCGCAACTTTACCTCTTTTTCTCGCTGATTTCCCAGTCACGTGTGCCAGGACTTTGTTTTGACTTGTAGTAGGCATAATCAAACTATCGATTTTACGAATTAAAACAGAAATATCAATAGATTTCTTCTTTCTTACAATACAATATTCATAACTTTGTTATGGCTGTTTGAAAGATTTAAGAATCAAGGGAATACAGATGAAAAAATCAGATATTTCCAACGTCAAACCCTCTTCTTAATTCACTTTCATCAGTAAGCATACTCCATAGTGTCGAGGATGTAAAGAACGGCTACCAGGTAACAAGTTGGTCCGAGGATTGCTCCTGGTAGGAAACTAGGCAACTAAGACAACAGAGAGATGACGGGGGGTTTATAGTTGTTACTTGTGTTGGTCAGAATTGGTTTCTCGACAGATGATAGCAATCAGATTATAGATTTTTGTTCCTTGTAGCTGTACGTCCAGCCACTCAGTTATCAATTATTGATGATCGGTTGCTATCGAACTGATAGCTGTCTCTGGAGATAGGCAACGCAAGCAATCTTACAGGTGTGTTGGACACATCAAAAGGTGCGACTTAAGTGTGTATACGCTACATTCTAACCGTCTCGTTTAAAACTAATTCAACAACACTAAGGACAACCAACTTTGATGTGCTCTATATAATTACAAGAACGTGAGAACATGTTACAGTTTATATATATTTGGAACCGTCGTGGTTTGTTAAGGTCTTTACCGTTTCGAGAATACAAGGGTCGGGGTAGGAGGGGTTGGGATGGGGAAGGGGTGCGGTAGGGGAGGGTAAAGGGGAAATAGATCCGAGGAAGAAAAAGAAGAAGAAAAAATGAAATCTGTTCGGAGAGATAGTCGCCTCCAATGTTTTCAAAAAATAAATAAGTAAATAAATAGATAAATTAAATATATCTCCTTTACGCATATCCAGACGCCAGTAGAAGTAAAGGAAGTGCGACAACATAGATTTGTTTGCTTTTTAATTACTTTCCACCATCTATCATTTCAAAATTATCTTCTTGGATTTTACTCCGGCACTCACACACGTACATTTTATCAGTTGTGTCGCCCTCAATAGATAAGATAAAATCAATTGATAATTGGCTTTTACGATAAAAACAATACACATTAGCTGATCGATTTTGTTTTCCTTGTTATGTACTCAATCCAAGTACAACACATTATTCCATTAGCACGGCCTGTGTAGAAGTTATAGTCGAGGTACGATGAATCAGCTGTTCAACAGAAGAGCAACGACTCTAAGTTAAACAAAAAAATGCAAGATGGACAACTTATACTTATCTAAATGCTGTGGGTTTTATAATGAAACAATTCAATAATATTTTCAAATGCGCCAAATAAGAAAAATGTGGCACCAAAAGAGTAAAAAAAAAAGTTTCATTTAGCAGGAATGAGTTACCCAACTTCAGCGGATTTGTACCGGTATGTGACGTCAACATATATTGTATAGATATATTCGTGAAGACCTCGCATATAAAAAAATGATGACTACAGTACATTGTTACCACCTACCGTATTTTGGTCTATGATATATTTACCATATTCTCACACTATTTTCTACCTTTAGTAAACATAGGGTTGTAATATAGCCGAAAACAGTTGGTCGGTCCCTTACCATCTCGTTCAGTACATACGACAGTGTCGGTACGCTTCACACGGATGAAGGTGACCGTGTAGTCATCAAAACGTTACACTCTAATCTTTTACTGATTGTGTTATAAGAACTTCTATCCTTGGTTCTCCTTTAGAAAGTCTTGACATAAGTAATATGGATACGATGCGATTGTTTCAATTCCACTTCTCTTAAAGCAGTGTGATGTTTAAGAATAAATTTGAATTACCTAAAATATATTACCAAACAACAATACACTTTCGGAACTCTTCATCTATTTGACTTTATTCGTTTTCATTTGTATTTTATTTCGTATATTACATCCTATCCTTGCTGCGGTGTGTTCCGCTTTCGTTTGTGTAAGAAACTTGTATGTTCGGAACTCCCTCTGCATAATTTCTTCCAATGACATCACCACAATATTATCATTGTCTATGAATAAACCGCTCTCAATAAGCTGGTCGCGATCTTCTTGACTTCCGGTTTTGACGATCCAGCGATTCCGAATACCATAGTCTCCTACACGAATGGACAAGACCTCGTATCTCATTTGTACAGGGACGACACCAGTCTGTTGGTGTATGATATTTCTCAGGTGATCATGAGACACAGCATCATTATGGCGCAAACTGAAGCAGACGTCAAATGACCCAGCGTTCGGGGGATCTTTCCGCATGTAGATAGACGGATGGACTCGGTTAGCAAATGATACTGCATAGCTCTCGTTTTCATTTTTCTCATTTTTGCATTTTTTGGCGACAGAATCTTTTTGTTGTTGTTCTTTCCTGCAGTTAAGAAAGTTTTTTTTTTAAATTCATATTTTTTTTTTTTATTTTTCGACGATAGATACGAAAGTATTTTTCATCACTAGACTAATTACATATTCATATCAATCCTGAACAGCCGAATATCGTTTTTATACGGTAAAAAGCACGTGTAATTATACACATTAGATATGATCAATGTGACTGAAAACACTGATAAGTTAATGACGTTTTAGCAAATATCACCTTCACAAAACATACACTTTAGTCATAAAAATAGAAAATGAATTGCTTCCATCATCCTCCCCTCCCCCTCCCTCTACTTCTCTTTACGACTTCACGCTTATTGTCATTACATTGTATTTATGTGTGCTCGAAAAACATGTCAAAACATACCACATTTGTGAGATCATCGCCTTATCAGTCTTGCTGGAAACATTGGAACCAGACGATTTTGTGGTGACAGCGTTTCTTTTGAGTCCTTTCATCTTTATCCTGATTTCGCCATCCCCGCCAGTCTCTAGATTTAATTCTGATCCTTGATTAGGATGAAAAGAGGACTTGAGAATGGATTTGCTTTCAGTTTTCTCAGTTTCCTTTTGGCCAGGCACTCGGAGGCCGAAACACACAAGCTTATCACCTTTGTTCGAGCAGGAATAGTAAAGAGGTTTGGCGAAAGTAACAGATTGGCGTCTGGAGCCAGACACATCAGCTGTTTTTGGCCTGGAAGTAGCTTCATGTGTTCTGTTTCGTGTTCTATCTGTTCCGACGCCTGTCTTTGGTCGCACTTTTGCAGGTTCAGGTAAAACTGTGGTCTCTTGCTCCCGAGTGTCATTGCTGTCTGCTTGATCAGACTGATTGAACTTCCATGCAAATGATCCAGATGACTTATTATAGGATAAAATAGTTTTATATCCTTTTATGTTGAACTCACTCGAAACTGTCGACGATTCTTTTTCATCTTCAAGATTCGTCAAGTCTTCCACAATGAGCTGTTCACCATTGTCCACGATGGACGACTTCCAAAGTTCGTTGATGTCGACATGTGATACTGGACATGGTGTGAGTTCTCGTTGGGAGCAAGAACCTATTCTAGTTTTCTTTGGTACCACCTCCGGTTTGTCCAAAGTGAGATCATTTCGTCCTGTATGCATCAACAGTAGCGCTTGACTGGAGGTCGGCATCTCCCTGCTTTGTAAACAGCAAGCCCACGAAAGAAGCAGGGGACAGGGTATGTATATGATGCTATATAACTGATTACCTGGAGACTGAGTAATTATTATGACGTCATGATATCTATGACGTCATTATGATAGTGTCGTCATTATCACCAATGAAGCAATATTTGTCAGTGTCTAATAGAAAACAGGTTATACCGTTGCGCGAATCAGTGCATATACATTTTTTTCATTATGAGCTAACGAGAACACGGTTGGTATTATAAATAAGAGTGCCGACAGTTAATTTTTTATCAGAAAATAATATTGCATAATTTGCGTAGACGGGCGTTCTTTTTAATATACTGATGCAGACACACTTAATCTATTCCTTCATTAGCCTATCCGTGACATTCACGGGCTATATATACATCTCCCAGTCGGTATCAACCTGTACATATATTTTCATTACTTAGACAGGCTATATCCTTATCGTTTTCTTCCATTGATGTTGGAAATTATTGTTCAATATAGCATTGACAGATAGAATCAGATCGTTGTTTGTGTAAGGCCGAATATTCAAATTTAATATATTTGATGACATAAGACTGTCGGTGTCTGAATAAATACACAACATCTTCCTGTGATATACGAGGATTGACGAGGCGTGAAATTAGTTCGAAATTCTAACGTTCTATCTTTTTTTTTAAATTGGTCTGGAGTTGATAATTCGGACTAGTACTGATATGTAATGAAATTTTCTATAATTATGTTTCGTTATTTAATACATTGGAAATGAAGACTGTATCATTACGTTCCTTGGTTATATTTACGTAATATGTGTCGACAGTTTTTTTTTCGATGTCGGCGACGCTTGCTACATCTATACCTGCCCACTTCCAAGATATTTTCGTCTTCACTGCAATTATGTACCATTTTAGAAGTTTCTTAAGAACAAAGAAAGACAACTTTCTCAAATTCCGAGCCGGGATTCAGTTCTCTAAAAAAATCCATAATGTCTATCTAATGACTGAATTTTAATTATTGGGTAAAAGCGCAAAATCAACAATTCATTATTCAGGAATATATTAACCAAGTTATCTACATGTTGGCTGATAAGTACTAGTGAAAATATTTTTCATCCCTGTCAAAACTTCTATAAAATCCATATATATTTTCTATCCGTTTAATGTAGTTTGTGTTGATATAGGTCTGAAGCGGAGATTAAAGTGCCAGGTTCAGTACTAAAATTGTTTTCATTCATATTCTGTATGAAACTGTTATTATTCGTTTTTCTAATGCTTATCGAATAATGGTTGTTATAAGAAAGCTCACGATTTCCCAATTCCGATTTTCAATTTCGTAACAATGACCTTCCCTTTCACCTTGTACGCTTACAGTGTAGCCTTCCTTTCGTCTAAAGGTGTTACGTAATATACATGTATAGTTCACCGAGTGTGTTTTATCAGGACCGTATTTGACTTCCATTTCATGAGTACATGTAGACCTTGTGATTATTAATCATCCACCGATCTTCGTCGACATAATCGTATTTTGAACACCTCGTGTTTATACCATACATGTATATGCATGTCCGAAATATTGGTTTTCACCTTTCGATTTTCAATAATCATCAATTAAGCTACTGTATCCTGGTCCCTAAATTATATGCATGTTAATAAAAATTTGCAACGAGAACTAAATTAACATATGTGTTATAGTTAATTCATTTTAATTAAATGGTAGAAGTAAAAAAAAAAAAAAAAAAAAAAAAGGGGGGGGGGGAGGGGTGGTTGGGAGTGAGGAGATCGGACTGGCAAAAATTACTAAAGGCAAATATAACAGGCCATGTGCGCTTCGGTAGCGCGTTACCGCGTTGCATACCCTGGTCTTGGTTCGATCCCTATTTGTACGTTCGGCACAAATTTGTTTGGTTTAAATCATTAATACTTATTCAATGGGATAAAAAAATCTGAATAAATGTTGACTTAGAATAAGTTTATTTGAGACGGGAAATGTTTAAATATTAATTAATATTATTAATGTAATGTTACATATAGTACTACACAGATAATGTCGCCTTGCTTGCAATTGTTAGTGTTAAATTTCTTTTAGTTTAGCGGAGAAGCGTTCGGCTAGAGACCGAAGTTTCGTTAGTTCGAATCCCAGCGATGGCAGTATTCTTCATTACTCCTTCCTGTTACACGTGTATACATACGGACCGTGGGTAGAGAACTCCTGCCAAGTCTATGTGAATGACGAAGAGTCATTATTTGGCTCTCCTGTAAATTTGTATTGAAAGCCGATATTCAGTTGTGTATCTTTTGTATAATCTGAGAGCTTATATTAATTCCTTTCCCAAATTAGAATCAATGTACGTGTACACGGTGCAGCTTAATCTTCACTTGTAGTGCTCAGTCACGTGCAGTGTATAACCTCAGTACTGTGTTTAAGATTGATTATTGCTGTCAAATGTCACGTTCTGTCTGCATCCTGTCTAACTCATGTCTGGAGTGTACTCGAATAACATCCTGCATTATGAAAACATTAATGTGTTCAATATACAGTGTTATGGCTGAGAAGTAGGCACACTCACTGGGCTGGAGACGTAATGACTGATCTCATCTATAAATAGAAAACAGAAAAAATACCGAAACCCAGAATTGTTATCTCAATTTTGATTGGACGTTTTATGAAAAAGTAACCAATCGCAGGCTCTGATACGGCCAATGTACGTCGGAGAAGAACTGTCTGGCATGTCTGGTGCACGGTGGAAGAGATGTGTGCGAAGGTCGTATTAATCGTCTGAAGTTTCGTTGTGACAGAAAATCAGAAGACCATGGTGGTGTTTTCCTTGACACTAGTCCGACAGTACGTTAACTTTATTGTTGATTTTTCTTTACTAATGAACTATTGTAAATCAGATCATAGCCAGGGTCAAACGGGCATCACGTTTTCCGAAGCTCTAAGACTTACGAGTGATTTTTTTTTGTAATCTTGGGCATGGCCTACATTTAGATCTAGCCGTTGCTTTGTTGATAGACCAATTTCATTTTTACGTTTTATATCTACATACACGCCTTCAACTTCTTGTATCGGGTTAAGACATTTTATCGTGTATGGCTATTGGAATGTTGGTCGTTGATCTTGTCGGATTGTGAGCTCAAGCTATCAAACCAATACTCTCAAGAACTCTTCAGCAGGGAACAACTTTTCAGGCTTAGCTATTTTCCTCCCAGATCTGTTTTACCCAGCCACCTCCCCCAAGCAATCATCAGACAAACACCTACATTTTACCACTCGCTGGTCAGGTGACACCGGGGTTCGGGGTTCGATTCCCAAACCGTGATCAAACTGAAAATTCAAGGTACATGATCATGGGTTGGACCACATGAGCTTTCCTTGGTTACATCAGCTATCTTAATCACTAAAACTACTCCTTATACTATTTTCCATTTCTCATTTTTAAGATTAGTTTCAATTCATACATATTCTTGTTGTAACATACCCTGTGATCATGGCCAACAAGAGTAATTGATATGATTTGATAGAACTTGTTTCTCGTTTGTTGTAAGGTAAAGGCTTTTCATTTGCTGCAGGGTTTTCCATAAGAGCCGGTCACCGACCAATTTAACTGGCTACTTTGGTCATTTGGCCGCCTACACCAATCCAGTTCCGTAATAATGTTCTGTACACGACTACACATACACGGCAGGCAAGCCTCCTACTTTCACTACACAGCCTTCTACTAACAAAATTATGGAAAACCCTGTGCTGAAATCATTTTGTCATTATTTCTTTTCTTGTCTCCCAAATGATATGAAACTTGTTTACAATTAGTCTTGAGGAAGAGTAACATCACTGATTCGTTTGGTACCAAGAGGTCATCTAATTCTCCTAAATTGATAAAAGATTTATTTATAGCTCAATCATGATAATCATATACAAACTTATGGGAAGGATATTTCATAGTTTGTGACTATTCATATCTATAGTCAGTAGATATACTGCTGTATTTACAGGGTCAGTTTTGGTATCTATTCGAATACCACTGGTAAGTGCATTCATCACAGTTTAATTTACTACAGATTTACTGTCTATATGATTAAATGTTTATATAATGCTTGCACCTGTAAAGAAAGTTGTGACCAGATCAGTACTTATGCCCTAACCATATGAGATTTTTTTTTTTAAAACAGATGTCCTTTTATAAACTACCATATTAGTGATATGATATATTACCCATGGAAAGTTGTCATTCTTAATTAGGGAGTTCCTAAACGAGAATTCAATAATGTTAAATCTTTACTATACAGTTTTTATGTACTAAAATGGGCAAAGTTTGTTAATCTTACATTTTTAACATTTCAGTGGAGAGACACTTTATAACAGAAAAAAGATTTTGCAAGGTAAGAATCATCATTGGCTTCACTGATTCATATACATATATATATGTCTGACTTCTCCTTAGAAGATACTACTGATAATCTAGAGATTTAAATACATAAAGATTTGTTTCTGTGTGACTCGTTTCTCATTTTTTTGTAATATAAGATCATGGTGTCAGTTCTACGAAAAAGTTTGGTAGTATATATGTACTTTTTCTATTTTCCACATGAACTTTACAAAAAATTCTAAGAATTCATCATTTTCTAAAAGACAGACAGTTTGCTGAAACAATTATCTCTAGAGTAGTACCATATAAGATATTTCATTGACTATATTCTTTTTGTGATCATAAAAAGCAGATATGTGAAGGCGAAGAGGATATGTGTTTTGGAGAGAAACTGTATGAAATTGATGACATTTATGTCATAATATGAATAACCAATCACATAGAGTGGTTGTTTTAAAGGTCAGACAGATGTGCCATTATCACAAGTTGGTATCCAGCAAGCCAAGATGGCGGCGAACCGCCTGGAGAACGAGAACTTCACCCATGTGTTCTCTAGTGACCTCAGTCGGGCCAATCAGACAGCTCAGGTCATCATGGAAGGCAACAGTGTGTGTCACAGCACCGTCGTCACTGACAAAAGACTACGTGAAAGGGTAACATTTCACAAGATGCGTTGTATAGGACACCTCTCGGCTATAGGCAAAATCATGGATTTTGAAAGTGTATATAAATCAAATGAAATGTGTCATAAAATTCTTGATGTGACCTGTGTACTCTCTCAAAAGTATGTTATAAACTACTTTATAATTAGGAATTCAACTTCTTGTTCCTCTCTTGTCAAAGTCAATATCACGTTGGTAAATACTAGTCACAAATAGTAGAATTCATTGCATCATACAAAACTTATATGGTATCTTTCAGCAATCATTAATTCTTATAATTTCCTTTCTACCAATATAGAATGCATTGACCCTATCGAATAAAGCAAAGTGATGATGTATTTAAGTTTTAAAGAAATTTGTCTTGATAAAATATATGGGGAAAAAAAAGAGGATATATTCAGATTAGGAATTCCTTACATGAGGTATGCAAATTTCTAGATCTCTTACGAAGGATAACACTGCAATACCTGAGCACAGTGACAGCTATGGAATAGTTCAAGCAAGATACAGTAATCATGTTAAGTATACTCTGCACACTTGATTTTGTAAGTTTTGTCAGAAGTCATCATTGTGTTGGTTTTTTTGTTTTCTGTAGAAATTTGGTACACTAGAGGGAAAGTCTCACAAGGAGCTGATTGCTGCTGCCAAGAAAGCCAACACTAATGTGGCTAGCTATACTCCTCCTGGTGCTGAAACCAACTTACAGGTACCTTACAAATGTCTGAATGGGACACTAAGTCATATTTATAGGTTAACGTCAGATGCTGATATCATTTCAGTTCGTATCTTGCTAGATCATTATTTGTTAATTGGGGAAGTTATTTCTGTGACTTGATGGAGTTTGCCACATCAGGAAGGGGCATTCTGGGTCATGACTGCCTAGTCAGTATTAGAGCAAATCATATTTGTGCAATACAAGTCTTCACAAACTCAACTCCATGGGATTAGTTGTTGTCACGTCAGAAATAAAGTATACAAGTCTGCAAGGCAAGACACAATAAAAGAAAAAGCAAACCAAGTCACATAGGAAACTTTATGAGGCTAGTCACACTGTAAATGGACAAAGCAAGTTGATTTGATGACCAAACATTCATTATTCCCCGCAAGGGTTTTTTTCTTAGTGAGGAAATTCATATAGAATCCTGATTTTTTTAATACTTTTAAATATCCATTAATACCTATACAATGTAGAAATGACACCAGTATACAAATTTAAGATATAACATCATCAACAAAACTAAATGATTTTTGTTTTATTTTGTAATAGATGCAAGAACGGGCAATGTCATTTTTTCGTGATCTATGCAAACTTCTTGTGGCCTTCATGAATGAGACAGAAGATACTGAATATACCCCAGGATCCATCAAACAGCGCCACGGTGGCAGCCTGGGACGCAATAGTGGCAACATACGCAATCGTCTCGTGAGCAGTCGGCGTAGCCAATCTTTTTGCGGCATTGCATCAATGTCGGATGCCCCGGATCTTGACATTTATAATGATTACCAGTCATCTGATCAGAAACGTCGCAAATATGAGAAAGACCATGATACCAGTGATGATCCAGAAGATAGTCCATGTCACAATTCTTCATCATCAGTGACAGTAGCGGCAGCAAATCATTCTGTGCGATCTCAATACACAAATGGAGGGTTGTGTTCCTCTCAAGACGAGAATCTCACTGACACTGTGATAGGCAGGTCCAACTCCAGCAGTTCTTCTGGATATTCGAGCCTGCCTGATGGGACAGATTTATCTGACAAAGATAGCGAGGATCAAGGTGAGCGAGAGGACCAGTCAGAGACTAAGAAAGCTAGTCAGGAGAACTTATTTACTCCAAGCAGTTACCTGGAACTTAACTGTGAATCCTCAGACAATTTCTCCAATTCTGAAAATGAACAACTTTCAGATTCACCGGCTGATACTAAGCCAGATACTGACCAAACAAATAACTACAGTGTTAGCTCTGAGACCTTTATCACTGGTCCTTCAGTTGTAAACAGGTCACCAGCCGGAGGCTATTGTCCAAATGTGTCCCTATCTCCACTCCTGGCCCATCGTCTGTCCAGTGTGTCCAGCATCAGCTCTGGTCGCAACAGTTCCTTCGATGATATGGATGGAATGCCACCCACTGTAGCTGATGTCCTTATTGTCAGCCATGGTGGTTTCATCAAGGAAATGATACGCCATTTTGTAGAAAACCTGGGATGCAAGATTCCTGGGGGTAAAAGTCATGCACTCAAAGTTTGTGCCAACTGTAGCCTTTCTAAGTTCACCGTCACTGTGCATAATGTTAGCGAATCACCAACTGTCAGTTGTATCACTATCAATGAGAGAGATCATCTCCGTGAAGTAGATGTCACAGAATTTGATTTGGCTCTCTAGCAGTTTAAACATAACTCATATCTCATCAATATCTTCAGATCTTATTTATCGCAGGATTCATCTGATTTTTTTAGGCTCCAAATAGAGTTTGTTCCGAGTTCAAGCTGCATACATTTACCATTTAATTCTCATCCTTGAATACACAGATTTCTTTTTTTTTTCTGACAAAAATATTCTGTTCAATTTTTAAATTAAGATTTTGCAGAAAATGGTAATGGTATTTGGACTGATCGGTTCTTATGTAAATTGTAATGTTATAGTGACCTGTTATTTCACCACCAGTGTAGTGTTTTCTTCTATTTCTGCATGGTAGTTGAATATAATTCTTTCAAATGCATTCTGTAATATTTAGATATTTTTGTATACTTCAAGATTCGAGACGGATGTACTCTGTTGGGTAATTGATAAACTTGTCCAGTGGATCCACTAGGACATATTACAGACATTTTACAATGCTACATGTTTGCCCCACTTCTGTGGATGTTGTGTTCTATCTGGAAAGATAGCTAACCCAAGAAGAACACAGAAACTCCTTAGGAGAACAGCACAATTTTTCTTAAATCAACTTTTGGAAATTGGAAATGTTAAAACGAGATGTAAACAGATTATCATTTGTTCATATCTAACATCCATATCCTCATTTTTTCATTGTTGATGATTTCTTGAAAGTGAGTGAAAAATCACTTGATGAAATTCACATCCATCACATGCACTTCTTTTGCACTATTTTTCACTACAAGTACATGTATGAATAGGTAATGTAGTTTGACTACCAGTTGAATTACATACACACTTCCCTGTCCCGTCCAGCTGCTTTTAGTTAATCTGTGGAATGTAATCATTGTAAATTTTTCATCAAAAACTGAGTATTAATTATCACTATTGAAAGATTAATATGGAATATACATAAATATCTAGTTATAACTGAAATGTGTGTTGTAAAAATGTTCAGAAGTTTTTTTAATTATTTTAGAAATATTGTATTTACATGTGCAACATGTTGTATAATATGACAAGTATGTTTTGATCAAAGTGTAAATACAATAAATCGAAATAGCTTTCATAGTTTTCATCATTCAAAAATGAGTGAGATATCTCTGACGTCTTGTTAATTGGCTGTATAATGTACTTTTAGGACTGACATTATCTGTCGTTAATGATGATATCTTCATCAAATCAGAAGTTGGAGCTTTTTGCATTTTAGTAGCAACTAACATATGCATGACTTCCTTTGAAATATCAGAAAAAAAGGATTAAAAGGTTGTATATTGTTTTTTTGCAGAAATTCCTTTGAAATATTTGAAAAAAGATGGCAATGTTTTCTAATGTAAGGAGAAACCATATTTGATTTTAATATCGAGCTTATTTTCTACTGTGAATTTTACATATGATATTGTTTAAAGTTGCAGGATAATGTACTGGCTTTAAGTGACATTCATATCAAAATTTATTAAATAATATGCTTATTTAGACAGTTTTACCTCCACTATTAGGGCCTTTCTGCAAACGAGCTAATACACTCTATTTGCTGTATATGTACTTGAATTAACTTATTTCTGGTACTTCCATGGAAAACATGGTATTGCATGACGATGTGTCTGACATCTTATGTAAAAAAATCTCCAAGAAGGCATTGATTTCAAGTGTTCAATTGATGTTGATGGTATGGTCTACCTGTCCCTCTGGCATGAGATTGACAGGTGAATCATTCTTTATCACCCAGGAAGATTTGAGACATTTTAAAGCAGGATACCATAGTAAAAATACCTCAGAAAGTGTTTAGTGAGAGTTCATATGTCTGCAAAACTTTGTCTGAAGTTGGAAAACTTCTGTTTGGCAAGTTAGTTTGCATTTTGTTTATTGATTTTTTCAAAAATAAAATTATGTAATTAAATAGATCTTTAATGTCTTCTCATGGTATAGTTAGAGTTATTTCCCTTTGATGCTGGTAGCTGTTCTTGGATAAATGTATTGCATCAAGCCTGAGAATGATTTACAGGCATGGTCAATTACCAGCACCTCATAGTCAAATATTTTTACTATACCATGGAAAGGCACGAAATATCTGTATAATATTACATAAGTGATGAAATATTGAAACCTGTGGTATTTACCGGTCTATGATGTCAGAGAATGGAATGAAAAGGTGACTCAATCAAATATACAAATGTTTGTGCTTCTTTTGTTTTTTTTTTTTTTTCAAATTATCATAATCTTTGATTATTGTAATTTAAAAAGTAATCTAGATATGAACAACAGAGAATGTTTGGTTTGATTTCATTTTGTACAGCTGTTTCCATGATATTCAGTTAAGAAATTTTAACGAGAAATTATGTATGCAACTAAAGCTGTTGTGCTAGTTTCTTAGTAACTAGCACTCTAGCTCAGAGGTATTTTCAACAGGTCAGTATTTTGTTGTATGTTTCAATTTATTCAACTGTGATGTTTGAAATATGAATGATAATTTTATATCAGAATAGAGAATGAATGGATTCACCTTGATTTCATTTTTAGTCTTCAAGGAATTCAAAGTTTCATTTGGCTGAAAACTTGTTTCTCCTCCATGTTGTCAGTCTTTCATCCATCTAGACGTGAACATTGACACAGTTCATTAATTTCTGATTTCATTAATAAGACACCTTCATAAGCAGGATTTTTTTCTTAGTCTTTTTTTGCATGTCACTTGGCTGTGTGTTGTATTGCTTATAAGGGTAAGACTGTGCTAATTTTTCTCACTAATAGGTATATGAATTGGACGGAGAATTTATTGTTTAAATGGCAGTTCTAATGCATTTATATGATATAAATTGTATTTAATTTCTGATGTTCTTTGAAGACAAAAATGGCATTTATTGTATATTTTTATTTAACCTAATCTTGACGATGAATTAGACATATAATCCATGTGTGGTTTGTGTATATGTGTAAGAAGTTTTACAATAAATATTTCAGTAAGTTCTATTGTAGAAATAGATATAGATGGGGCAATGATATACTTTTTAGCATCCCCTCACCAATAATTACTGTACTCTTCTCTTCATTCTGGACCTAGCTACATATTAAACCTGGTCGTCCATAGTTATGTAATATAAATGGCTCCTTATTTCTCCCCACCCTATCAGGGTACATACATTTCTGGAATAACCTTAAGCTACAATTTTATATACAACATTTTAGAAACAGTCCAGATGATTAAAAATTATGTACAGCATATGGTGTATTTTTGACAAAGGACAACTTTATGATGTATCTATTGAAATCAGATATGGATTTATGTAGATTATAGTGTTACAAAAGTAAACATATATTTGGGACTAAGAAACATTGATTTTTTTTTCTTTTTCTTCTTTTTGTTTTTTTTCATGCAGTTGCGATTATTTGTAAAAATTAACTCAAAATCCTGTTATGCTGTACTTTGCTCATGAGTGCTCATTATTGACTCAATCAAAAACCTTGGCATCCAGGTTACATATATATTTGACAGGTGCTTTAATGTTCTTTTATGAATATGTATGAAAATTTTCCCTTCACAATGCAATGAAAAATTCAATTTTTGAGATATTTAGAAAAAAACACCCTCTGGGTTCATTTCATTGAATTTGAATTAAAACTATTTGTTTCTTACTGAAATAATAAATTTTGAATGTGTAGTCGATGCTTCTAGTACAGTAACTGATTTTTTTAATTGCTTTATTGAAAATTCCGGAAACAGGCCACCATTAGTATTGATTGAAAATTCCGGAAACAAGTCACCATTTGTATTGATTGAAAATTCCCGAAGCAGGCCACCATTAGTATTGATTGAAAATTCCTGAAGCAGGCCACCATTAGTATTGATTGAAAATTCTGAAAACAGACCACCATTTGTATTGATTGAAAATTCCGGAAACAAGTCACCATTTGTATTGATTGAAAATTCCGGAAACAGGCCACCATTAGTATTGATTAAAATTCCAGAAACAGGCCACCATTTGTATTGATTGAAAATTCCGGAAACAAGTCACCATTGTTATTGAACTTTTTTTCCATTGATTAAAATGAACACTTTGTTGGTCCATGTTAAGTTTGATAATCAAGACACAAGTAATGTACATAGCTGTAAGTCATGTATATACTGAAATCAGCTATAAATGTGATACGAACAAAAAATTTACTGCAAATTATGAAAATAAGAGATATATATAGATAAATTATGCTTATTTCTGAAATGTGTACTCAAATTCATTTACATAGTAACATGTTTACTCTATTCATGGCAAGAGGTTCCTCGATTTCATCCTGAAAGGGAGATAAATCCTTTTATTCTTGATAAACAATGATTAATTCATTGCTCTGAAGTTTGCAGACAGAAATCATTCTGATGTAATTTGAATAATAGTGATATTGGTTTGCCAATACACTTCACCTGTGAGAATTTTATTGTGATATAACACAAATTTGTCACTGTTTGTGATATTGTAATAGGTTTTGTTCATGAGAGGAGGTTGTTTTTTCTGTTTTGGTTGATTAACTCATGTGTTCATCACTAAATAAGTGCAAGTCTTTTGAGCGATGTTATCTTTAATGTGTGTTGCTTAAGATAGATCATAACTTGTGATATATAAAGAAATATCCCTTACATACATAATTATTACACTTGTGTCATAGAGTAATGTATCTGTATTTATATAGATTTGCAGTTATTTACTGTAGAAAATTGTGGTATTTGATATGAAAGTTTTAACTTTTTGTCTGCATACAATTTTTAAACGATGGAACAGTAACCTTATAAAGAGTACCTTTAGTAATATATAGTGTAGGGATTACCTCCCCTTGTTCTTTATCGACCTTTCATCCGTGCTCTAATACAGATGAACAGTTTATCCAACACATGCATAGATTTAGTTCACTTCTTTTTTTCATTTTATAAGTGCGTCATTTTTCTACTTAAAATGTTATAAAATTCAAATGAGATTTTAAAAATTATTCATATTCATAAAGTTTCATATTTATTCACAGTAGAAAACTGTTCAGATGTGAATAACGGATTCTAATAAAACGGGTTTCTACTTCTTTGCGGTATCGGTATTTTAGACATATCTCTCTGTGTTAACTAGCCACCAGTCCAGTTGTACTGTGCCTTTACCTTGCATGTATAGACAAATCTCGGTAAGGAACATCTCTGTTGCTGGTTTTGGCTGATTCTTTGTTACTGTACATCACTTATTTTTTGTGATATGTATATTTTAGAGAATTCCGTTTGAGAGTTTACTGTCCAGGAAGTAATTATCTCACAAATATTTTATCATAATCCTTTTATCACATATGTCCATGTTTTATAATCATCTACTTCTTGAGGTCATAAATTTTAAACTATTTCATTGAAATTATGGTGTTTTTTCATTTGTGAGAGAGGACATTTCCAAAAATTAAAGGATTTACAGTTTTATACATCATCTACAAAGGGTAAGGAGCTTGTTTAAGTTAAACATCATACCATGTGGTAGATATAGGTACCATCTTATGACTTGCTCGAGTTTCCTTCGCCTTCGTTCAGCCAAACGGTTAAAACAGCCCATTTCCACAGATTTTTTGATGAATTCCATATCTTTGTTGGGGCTTATTTTTGAATAAGATAAGCTTACGTCTTTTTTTATCGAAGAGATGAATATGATAATTATATCAAACTATATACACAGTAACCCATGTACGTACGATGACTTTATATATTGTCATTTCTTGAGCCATTTTTCTTGTATCAAAGGTGGTCTAAGTCCAGAATTAGATATTGTTTACAATAAATATATTTAAAAACTAAGGTAACCTAAGACAAGTTGTTATTGTTTATGTGAAGGAACTTCATCACTAGTTAAACATGTTTTTTTTGTACCTTACATTGATGTCATGATGCGACATTGGTAAATTCCAGCACGAATTTATCTTCCAACAATTTGAAACGCGCTGATTCCTAACCAGGTAAGTGAAGAAGAAAATAAAAGTGACAACCCGAACTTGGAACACCTAATAAAATTCCATCCGAGCGAAGAACACGTGAATACACAGAGTATCCCCTCTTTAGAACACTGTATTACAATATCCGGACATGTACATGTAGGAGGCCAAAGTAAACATTATCATAGAGAAGTTCTTTACTGCTTACTTCCAATGAAAATATGAATAAAACTACTTAGAGTCCAAACCCATATCCAGCTATGCCTGGCATCGCGACATAGAAAGATGCTTAAGGACAGCGCAGATACTTAGGGTAACATCCCCTCTGACAGTTGGTATGAAGGCGACCATCTTTCAACTCTTTATGAAGTAGGAAAGGCAGACTGCCTGTCAAAAACAGGGTGACAGCTTCCAGACATGTCACGCTCGCTAGTCTGAAACTTAAACAGTGAACAAGCGGTACATTCCAACACAAATGGAGAGGCATATGCTGACGAAGAGCCAACAAGAAATGTTTTTAAAAAGTTCTATTTCATCGTCATCATCGAATATCTCAGGAATGAATAGTTTTGGTGTTCGATCGCGATCGCACTGCATCGTCGAAAACTTTTGACGTAGACTAAAAGAAAATGCGTTTCCAATGCCTTTGGAATTAACTTTACATTATATATGGATGGTATGGGAGACTCCATCCTGCAGAATGTCAAACTTCTAGAAAGGTACGGATAGTTTTTTCAGAGAGACGTAAGAAGACAGTTCCATTCCGATTCATGGAGACTTTATTCAACCACGTTCGGTAATCACGCGGACAAAATTGGATACAGTAACATCCAAGGGTAGTACAAAGAACTCTCGCAAGTTAATCAGCAATGAAGGAGTCTTTACCTAAATTGAGATTCAGGGGTGGGGGATGTGCCCTCTTGGGGCTTAAATTTGTAATTGGTGACAGATAAAAGAAAAAAAAAGTTTTACTTCATGAAAATGTGTAGTTTAAACATATTTTAATTTCTGATTTTGGCAGGTGTAAAATGTCGGTTTCCCCCCTTAAGTGGGTGATTAGTTTCACTTGTAAACTTCCGGTAGTTGATTTCAGAAGCGATGACAGTCCAATATGTCATTTAACCTACTGAATTATGCCATTTGCAGCAACTGACAGGTATGAATATATACAGTTGTCACTTGTGTTGAAATTCAAATGATAATGCTATTATCTTCAATACTAAGTGATAATGACATGCAGCCTAGATACTCCAGGGGTTACGATCACTCATTCGCTCTCTGCATCTCTGAATATTTCAAGGGATACAGAGAGCGATAGTGAGCGAAACCCCTGCAGTATCGATGATAGTGATTGCTTTAATTGCGTTAGTCCTGTAAAGAGAATGTGAAAACTTTAATAACCAGATATGGACAGTATAACGAAATAGGGACGAGTGTAGGTAGAGTTCTCTTACTCAAGAATATGAAACAGTGTGATCTGCTACCAGAGATTCCCCAATACACCTCATGGACAACCTTACATTTGAAGGCAAATGTCCAGATTTTTCATCGCGACAATGGTATAATATTTCTATACGTTTATCTGCCATTGTAGATCCTATATTAAAGGGTTTGTTTCCGAAATTACGATTTCCATGGGAGATGTCGACATCTGACAGATTAACTCGCAGAATCTCGAGACGTGGATTAACGAAGATTATGGACATAACCATGGTTACCAGCACGATCTCATTTGGTAATGTTAATTTTCCTTTTGTGGTTTAATGTTGGTGAGTTCGTTGCTCGCTGACATGCCAAATTGTTTCGCTTATATGTATTACACATTTGAGATTGTCACATTACTTTGGTAGACAATCGTTTCAAAACGGATGTCGGTAATGAAGAGTACGACGCCTACCATTCCGGAACGCCTGGTATTTATCTCTCAATACTTTTTCAAAGTCTGTTTGGTCAGATTCCTTCATCAATTTATGATTGAGTTTTTTTTTAAAACATTTACATCACATGTCGGTGTTTTATTTGTTTTAAGATAACAGACATCTGTCTGTACATATCATGTAGCGCATTACACCTTTCATCATGAATGCATTTTGATAGCGAAGAGAAATAAACGATTTATGCTGGACTACATGCCACAAACGACCTTGATGAATATACGTGTCCGCCTGATAGTCCGTCTTTCTATCACATATATAAACATTTTCCTGACCGGTGTTATGCAGATTCTCCTAACAAGCTGAAATACGGGCGAGATCAAATGTTAAAAAACTAGTTAAGTCACCGCCTTTCTTAACATCTGTATTTTTTTTTTTTTTTTTGAGTTCGCTCCTGAAAGTGTCCCCAAAACAGATTTTCAGAGGATATTTTGGAGGATATCAATCTGGAAATGTCACGTGCATTTTTGCGACTGTGAGGTACATGTATTATATTTTACAGCGTCAGAATTCGTTTGAATTTACGAAGGATATTAACATTAATTGCACGTACGTGGTTAGAAATTTTTTTTTTTCAGATTTCAGATGAATTTTTTTAAAGCTTTTTCTGATGTACTAGCGTCCGAAAAAATCATATCGTCAGAGTTTGGAAGGTGAACATAAAAGATCTGCGTAGTTTCTATGATTTAGTAGGCATATCCTTTTAGTATGTCCTGCTTTTTTATTTTTGTATTCCCGGATCGAAAAATTGGGGGTTGTTTTTGTGCTGTCTGTTGTCGACTCTAACATTGCCCATAACTACTGCACCGTAAGAGATAGGGCTTTCATATTTGGCATGTGTGTTCGTCGTGACAATACCGTTCCGATGATATCACGTGACCTTTTAACTTTCAGAAATCAAAACAAAAAATGTATTTAAAAAAGTAACATTGGCCATAACTATTGAACTTACACTGTCAAATTATAACCTCAATGAAGACATGAAGACATAGCACATGCCTTACACAGTACATTTTTAATGTCCCACTTCAGATATTTATTGCTACCGGGGACATAATGTTTCATAAACACATCTGTATTCTATTTCCTTTCAGTTCCAATGCCTTGCTCATTGGTAGCTCCTATTTTATAACTTGATGTGTTTTCAACTAATTTTGACGTCGCCTCGGTTCTGTAAGTTTTTCATCTCCTCAGATACAGTTACTCTATATAATGTCTCCTGAAGTCATCTTTGAGGCATAACCGTATTTGTTTTGTATGTCCACGCTTTCTTGTCCAGACATGGTTAGTCCTTGGATGTTGATCATATGGTAATACTTGTTTTTGTTCGATATCACTGAGAAGTAAATACTCACTGATTGTGTATTAGTATGGATAGTTATTAAAATATATAGTGTTCCAGTTAATAACTTGCCGAATTCAAATACCCTTTACAAATGTTTTAGCTCTGACCGTTAGATGTCAATCGAAGAAAAGATGCTTGAAATTCGCACTAAAAGAATCTAAAACAGAAGTCAGGATTTGGATCATATATAACACAATTATACAAAGATGTTGCACGGTATTGCAAACTTTTTGATCGTCAACAATTCTGGCAATTTTCCTGTAGTAACAGAAAATAAAAGTTGAAGAGAACGTTATTGATTTGCCAACGTTTCATACTTATTTACGACCACGAGAATGACCTTGTATCTTGTCAAGCAGTGAAACTACGTCATGTTCTATCCCTAAGGGTCCTAACCTTGGCCATGAGGCTGTTGTCAAAGTGATAAACACATCACTTAAGTCCTAATAAATTAACTTCGCGCGTACATTTGACGCATGATGAGCTAGTAGCTTGTGTATACACTAAGTTCTGTATTTAGTCTGTTGTGATCTTTTACTAAACACCTGTCCATTCAGAAAGTCGGTAATCTGAAATCTTACGTGCATGGATGTTTCAGCGATTGGTTAAAATTGACCACAACTCGGATCGAAATATTGTTTATATAACTTGTCGATACTTCAATGTGTCAAATTAGAAGTTTATAGGATTCCAGCAATCAGCAAATTGATTAGGGGATAGAACCTTATGAAGCGATATCTAATGACCGAGGAGTGGCGGAATCGATGCAAAATTGATCGAACTATTGAAACAGTATTTTCATTACCACATGCGAATGTCATATCTTATCGCCCTGTTGTCATATAATGCAGAAACGGAACGCAAGAAAAAAAACTTTGTCTTGGTGTAATTGTTGTGCCTATTTACCATGACTGCCAATGAGCCTATGCAATGTTGATCATCGATACAATCAAGAGCGTTTGTTTTTTACAAAGTCTCATCAGCCACACCACAACTCAACGTCGCTGTCATTAGACTATTTCACAATTTTATTTTTAAAACAAAATTAGTTTCTTTACTTTTTTTTAATTCATCGGATTGGATAGTGACCTTGGATTTAGTTGTTAAAGCACTGATACACAACGTAACTAATTGTCGCTAGTACAAACATTGCAATATGCAATGTATTAAATTTCTTCAGTATAAGATACTACGTCATAGAGAACAAATTAAATTGATCCTTATTAAAATTACGTCAATGCAATGAGATCGATTAAATTATTCAGTTGGTTTCAGTCAACTTTCCAAACCCATTAAGTGCTCATTTGAACATCTTGTTTCCATGGCATCATCACTACCTCGTGTCGTCACAGCCAAATAAAACGTCCAATGACGTGAGCTTGAAATCATTGACGTCTAAATCACACATACCATACACTTTACACATGAGCTCGACGTCCTTTTGAAATTGTCACACATAGCTCTGAAAATTATGACTTTTATTGAATTTTTGGGCTTAGTGCACCTCCCGCTCTAGAATTTGACAATTCTTTTGATCAATTTTGGTTTTCTTCGGTCATCCCTCTAGATTTCAAGAATTAGGTCCCTTTCAT